AAGAGCTATATAATGTAAGAAAGCTATAACTCTCAGTTATATATAAACTGACTACTGAGATTATGAATTTTATATTTAATCTCATTTGATCTGATCTCATACATTTCTTGATATGAATTCTGCTGAGACTGGCTATTAAAAAAACATGTAAAGTGACTATATATCAGATCTTAAAATGAAATCATGACTTGAAAAAAATAAGAAAGTAATCTCATTTAATCTCATTTAGTCTCATTCTTAGTATAAAGTTACTATTTTTAGACATTTTAAGGTTTTTTTTAGACTATTTTTAATTTTTTAAAAAGTAATGCTTTTTGATAACACTTAAATAAGATTTAAAGTCATTTAAAGCAATAAAAATAATTTAAATTGAGAAGTGAAAATCATGATCTCATTTGAAAAATGTGATAAGAGTAGACAGTAAGTCTCACTGAGACAGTATGAGACTACTATCTAATGTTAAAACTGTGTAATGAGATCAGTTAAATTGATAATAAAACTATTAAAAAATCTGATTCTGATCTCAGACACAGTCACACAGTCAGTCTAGTTATATATTAAGTGTATGTATATTGTATAAAAGTAATACTTTTTAATAATACTTAGTCTTTGATATTATGAAAATAGAGTCTCTCTGTGAGATCTATTTTTATCAGAAGTTAAAAAATCTTATATTTCTCAAGATTATTTTTACATATCTTATTCATGAAATTGATGAGAAGAATTATCAATTTCAGTATTCTACTCTTAATATTATTCAAGTGATAGCAGAGTTCACTCTGATTATACTTTTTAAGTGTATATTTTTTATTTTTTTCTTTTTCTTTTCTTTTTTTTTCTTTTTCTTTTTTTTTCTTTTTTTATTGTGATTTTTTCTTGTTTTTATTTTATTTTTTATTTTTTATTTTTTTTATATTTTATATTTTTTTCATAATTAAAATTATATAAATTATAATCTATATTTAGAAAAGTAATAATATTTAATAATACTCTCTATTGAATTTTCAATAAATGAGTACTATATTATAATATTATATAAGTGAGAAATAATTTTATAGTTTTATTTAATATTATTCTTAATAATAAGATCAGAATGAAAATGTAACTAAGAATTCAAATATATTCTTTATCTAAGACTAGATTTTTATTTGAAAAGTGAATCTGAGATCTTTAATATTTAAAATAATATGATTTAAAATCAATGTAATAAATATAAATCATGATTAGAAGTAATACTTTTAGATAATATAATAACTATAAAGTTTAATTCTAATCTCAGATATAGTCACACAGTTAGTCTAGTCTACTTATTATATAGTTTTAATATTAAATAGTAGTTTTATACTATCTTAGTAAGACTTACTATCTACTCTTATTACATTTTTCAAATAAGATTATGATTTTCACTTCTCAATTTAAATTATTTTTATTGCTTTAAATAACTTTAAATCTTATTTAAATATTATTAAAAAGTGTTACTTTTTAAAAAATTAAAAATAGTCTAAAAAAAACCTTAAAATGTTTAAAAATAGTAACTTTATACTAAGAATGAGACTAAATGAGATCAAATGAGATCACTTTCTTATTTTTTTCAAGTCATGATTTCATTTTAAGATCTCATATATAGTTACTTTGCATGTTTTTTTAATGACTAGTCCCAGCGGGATTCACACCAAGAAATGTATGGGACCAGACCAAATGGGACCAAACATGAAATTCATGGTCCCGGCGGCCAGTCTAGTTGTGTGTAGCCAAGGGCTGCTAACCCTATTGATTATGTGAGAGATAGGAATAGGGGTAAAGGATCCGCGAGGAGCGGGATTTCTTACAAAAATCTAATTATGTTGTTGAGATATTGTTGAAAATATTTCATCATAGTGATAGTGAAATGGCGGGCGTTGGGTGTAAGCGGGCGTTGGGTGGTTGATCACGTTAGTTCATTGAGTGGATGAGTTCCTTGGGTGGTTGAGTCACATTAATTCTTTTCTTATGAAGTGTTGTTTGTTGCCTTTCACTCGCGGTAGCAAGATATCATACGGATTGCTAGTAACAAGCTTTACCTCACCATGCTCCCTGAATAGTCGTTCGTTCGCTCCGTGACAATCCGTCTCTATCGTGCAACACCGCATGGTGCAGGCTATCCAATAATTCCTTATTTCCCTCCCGCCCCAGAAAGCTATCGAGCTACTTAGAAATCTAGCTCTTAAGCAAGGAGTAAGGTAAAGATGGCTTCCTCCAAAAGAGTCGATCTAGAGAATAAGGCCATCATCGTCTTGGACTCGGACAACACCTCCCCTTATCCATCCGAGATGTTGCCAGAAGAGCAGACGAAGCTGGATCGAAAGCTGCTGCTTAAACTTGACTTTCTGCTGGTGCCAATGATGGGGATGCTGTATTTGCTTGCTTTCCTTGACAGAGCTAATATTGGCAATGCTCGTGTGGTATGAGTCGAGGCATATCCAGCTGAATAATGGAAAATGTGTCTGACGGAGAAATTTCGCATGTAGGCTGGCCTGCAGAAAGATCTCGGTATCACGGACTTGCAATATCAAACAGGTGAGAGAAGGTCTTCATCTAAAATAACGAAAAGAAAAAGTGAAATAGCTTCTAACACAAGAACAGCTATCACGGTGACCTACGTCCCATATATCGCAGCTGAGCTGCCATCAAACCTCCTCATCAAAAAGATCGGGCCCCGTATCTTACTCCCAGCCCTCTGTCTCTCATGGGGCATCGTCACCACTCTCCAGTCGCAGGTCAATAACTACCCTGGCCTCATTGCCGCTCGTTTTTTCCTCGGACTCCTCGAAGGAGGTCTATTCCCTGGGATTGTCCTCTACCTATCCTCCTTCTACCGCCGTCATGAGCTGCAGGTGCGGGTCGGTCTATTCTTCTCCGCTGCAGCCCTTAGCGGCGCTTTCTCCGGCCTCCTCGCCGCCGCCATCCAAAACATGGAAGGCGTCGGTAACCTCCGCGGCTGGCAATGGATCTTCCTCCTCGAAGGTCTTTTCACCGTACTCTTCGGTATACTATCTTTCTTCATCCTACCCAACAACCCCAGCGAAGTCTCCCTCTTCAACCCTGAAGAAGTCGAACACTGCACCCGCCGCCTAGCCCTCGACACCAACCTCCCAGACAACGAAACCGTAACCTTGAACCGCGTCCTCTCCGCCTTCAAAGACCCACACATTCTTATCATGTGCGCCATCCTCTTCTGCAGCGGCGCTAACCTTTTCGGCCTCTCCTACTTTACACCATCCATCGTCCAAGCGCTCGGATATAGCCCGACACGCACACAGCTGCTCACCGTCCCGCCCTTCGCCTGCGCCTTCGTCGCAACCATGATCGCCGCGTACTTCGCAGACAGGTACAAGCAGCGCGGGGCCGCGGCAGTCAGCACCAGCATCATCGCCCTAGTAGGCGCAGGAATGGCGCTCAAAGTCCGCTTGACCGCCAGCAGGTACGCCTCCATCTTCCTGCTCATCACGGGCGTCTACTCCACCGCGCCTAGCTTAATAAGCTGGGTGACAAATAACACTGCGGGCCATGTGCGGCGCGCAACGGCCATTGCGATGGTCTTTGTCAGTACGAACTCGGGCGGGATTGTTAGTACGTGGATCTACCCGCGCAAGGATGCGCCATATTACCTGTTCGCGGCGAAGTTTAACCTAGCGCTGCTTGTGATTACCATTGTGTTGTGTGGGGTGCAGGTAGGGTGGTTGAGGAGGTTGAATCGGAGGAAACTAGAGAAACCCGATGAGGTTCTGGGAGATGTGCTGGGTGTGGGGTTGCAGGCACAGTTGAATGAGTTGGGAGATAAGCATCCGGAGTTTGTGTATACCTACTGAGCCCATTGGGTAATGGGAATTCTTCTGGTGACGTGGGAATTGCGCGACGGAAAGGAGTTCCTCCTTCCGAATATATACCATGTCAAATCTGCGTTTGACACTGGGATGAATTGAAATTTACGGCGATTATACCGTGTATAAAGCAAAAGTTCTAGTTCCTTTTAATATTCTGAAAATTCAATTTCATGGTCGAACCTTTTTATTTTGTTTCCCATAACTCTCAGTCAGTCCTTTTGGCCTAGTACTGTAATGGGGATGACGATGTTTCAAAGCAGGTGGAACCATGGAAGCATCGACTCAGAGAAGGAGTGGGAGTGAGATGGAAACATATATATATGAGGTTCCATCCATCTAGGTTACATTTGGAGATATGCAGTGCAGCGGGGGGAAGCATGGTTGAATTTGTGAGAGATGTATGTTTCATATGAACATTCTATGCAATGTCTAACAGGCTCTTGTCTACATAGTGTGTTGATCTCAGAGAGAATTCTAGTTTGCTTCATTGAAATCTCATTGATCTTGAATATTGATTTTGAATTGTGTATATATGTGTGTTCTCCATCTGCTAGCTACCGCATGAGGTGTAGCACCCATTGCCAGCCCAGCCAAGCAAAAATTGCCCTAAAAATTAAGAGCAAGAGCAGACACTAATAAAGCAATCTCCGTAGAGTGAATTGTAATGTTCTCATGTGTACGCTGTACATTTACATGTACCAATAGCTGCATACTGTCAGCAGCCAGCACAGTTACGCAGCCCGATGATGTTGCCACTGTGGTTAGATCCTCAGTTGTGGATTCGGCAAGCCTAGTGGCAACTTACACAGTAAACGATTACAACAACTAAGTTAACTACTAGTTACCCCAACACCCGCTGCGGACCCGTGAACTGCAACTTCGAGAGGGGAAAAAAGTATTTCACTTCAACCCTTCCCATACAACCACGGCTACTTTCCCTCCATTTCCATAGATATTTCCAAAAGCAATCAACCATGTTCATCCACCCCTCCCTGCCTTCCTCCCTAATGATTTACTTGCCTGTTACGAACGGGAGGTTTTCCAACGGGAACGAAAAGCTTAGTCGCTTATGCACATTGCCGCCCGCCCGGGTTCGACCGGCGGGCTACACAGCACTACATAATGTAGCCTAGCAGCCCAGCAGCCTAGTTAAGAGAAAGTTTCTGGGGGTCCCGCGGAGAGAAGGGGCATGTTGCGGGCGATGTAAGAAATTGTCAAGGGCCTGGGCAACAACCGGGCTGCCATATCGAAATAGGAGCTGGGAGTAAGCAGAGAATGAGGCTGGAGAAAGATGGTTTCAAGGTTGGTAGAAGAGGCCCTTCACTAGGTAAGTAATAAGAACATGGTAAAAATAATGGGAGAAATAAAACAAGTTTTCATTTCATTCTCAAAATCCCAAGAATAAATTATATACAAAGAAGTAAGTGAAAAAAATCTGATAGTACTCAATCTGATTGCCATTTAACCCCTTATCTCCAATCCCAGCTATATATTTCAGTTGTAAAGAAGAAGAAGCAAAGATCTTGCTTGCATGGCTCATATGAAATAGGCAAAAGACGTATAACAGAGGAACAATGAGAATAGTAATAGTAAAAGAATAAAAAAAGGACAAGATGAGATGAAAGATGACTGAAAGGTAGGGGGAAAATAATAAAAGCTTCGAAGTAAGATAAAATTGAGACATAGCATAAAACATAAAAAGAGCGAAGGGGAAAAGAAAAAGGGCGCTCACTCTCACACAGCAAATGAAAGAATCGAGTCGTTCCGGCCAAACTTGTACGTATCACTGGCAGATAAGTACATAATTGAAGTGTCTTCAAATAGGAAATGTTGAGATAGCAGAAGTAAAAGAAGCAATGAACGCAATAAGAAACCGAGAAAGTAAAGTGCATCAAAATAAGAATGGGATGATTTGTTGTTTATTGTTATTGTTGTTTGTCTCAAAAAAATAAAAATAAAAATAGAGAATAGAACAAAAATAGGGAACCCGCCCCGTTAATTGAAATAAGTGGAGTATGATAGAAGTAAGGGGAAAACGGCAAATCATTGTAGAAATTGTCAAAGAAAATAGGGAATAAATAATAAATAATAAATAATAAAGTAAAAACATTACTGAGATTTGTTGTAAGTAAAAATTTAGAGATGAGTAAGAGGGGCTAATAAAGAAAGAGCAGCACTTGCTGCTTATTTCGTTGGTGAGTGCCGGTAGGTTGGTTGATCGGTAGATATGTGGGTCAGTTAAGAGGAGGGGAGTGACGTTGGATTTTATTTTGATCCAGTGCAAGTTGTAGCTTTGAGAGTGGAAAGGGGAATAGGCAGTAAGAGGAGAAGAATAATAATAATAGAAGGGAAGAGAAGAAAAGGAGCACTCAGCATGGTGAGAAACAAAAAAGAAAAACGTAATAGAAGAGAAAACAGAACAGGCTCAAAAACCACGGGGAAAAGAATAATAAATAGGGAGAATCAAAAGGACAAAAGCGAGTTGAGCCTAAGATGGAAAAGATGTAATTTGCAATTTGGAAAGGAAACGAGAAGAAAGAAGCAATAACAATCAATCAATCAAAATATATAAGAACATATAAAAATCTGCGAATTTTGAGATTTCAAATTCGAAAGCAGGGTAAATATGGGGGAAAATAGGCCGTTACTTAGATTTCCCAAACGCCTCTTCCCCCAAGTCCTCAACAATTCAAGCCTCCGCAGCCGTCGCAGCAAGCGAACTGGGATCCACAGTCTCAAACGGGAGCATGCCATGGTAATCAGCGACGCTCTCGCCTGCTGGTGAGTGACCATGACCAAGAGCATGCTGCTCCTGTTGCTGCTGGTGATGATCATGGTCGCCACTCAATCCCTGCAACGCCAGCACGAAACTATCATCATCCATCTCCATCGGTGGGGAGTGATGATGTTGATGCAGAGGCATAGACATAGGCATGGCCATAGACATCGGCATGGACATTGACATATTATGATTATTATGACTATGATTATGGTGTTGGTTGAGATTCTGCTTTGAGTACATCTCACTCAGTAGCATACCCGTGGCATCATCGCTGCCGTCTTCATCAACAACACCAACTGCACCTAGACCAGACATGCCTGCCATGTGGTCATCGTGGTCTTGGTCGTGGTCAGCGACGGAGAGGGTGAATATATCATCCGCAGAAGCGGAAGAGGAGGGATGGAGTTGTAGTTTCGTCATAGAGGGTGGGGATTGGTCTGCGATCATTGATTCAGCAGTGGCGTGGCTGACATGTGATAGTGGTGATGGGGAGTGCTGCTGCTGTTGCTGTTGTTGTTCCTGTGGCGGCGGCGGCAGCTGTTGTTGTGACATCATATTTGGGGCATCAACCATTGGAGACGGGGAGAGGAAGGGAAGGCTGTATGGGGTGCCTACTGTGGGAGCGGGAGCTGTGGGTGGCTGCTGTTGGTGTTGCGACTGCGTTGGCATCTGGTTGGGCGGTGCACTTGTAGCGAAAAACGGTGGGCTGGCAAATTCCGAGGACGTCGTGCCTGTTGTTGCTGTTGGGTGTGTCGTCGTCACCGCGGGCATAGGATAGGACTGGAAATCCATGCCATACCCGGTCGGGTTATCTAGCCGTAGGTCGTTGCTAACGGCCGGAATATGTGGCATGCGACCCTGCGGGATGGGTGCGAAGATATTAGGGTCTGGGTGGAACTGCTGTGCTGGGGGATGGTGTTGTTGGCTGTGGAACGACGGCATGTGGTGGCCCATTGCAGCAAAATCAACTGGTATAGGGACAGATCTGCTTCGTTGTCGTTTATGGCCTCGCCCCGGATGTAGACTCATCCCGAAATGATTGCTGTTCTCCTGATATATGGATGAATTCGGTCTAGCCAGATGATTCGGTTGTGAAGCCGGTCTGTGAACTATGTGCGGAGAAACGGGCGCTGACACAGCATATCCGTTGAAATCATACTGCATCAGACGGTTCTGGAATGACTCTAGGGACACAAGTTTAGCCAATTGGACGCTGAGAACTTTGGGGTGGCCACCGAGATAATGAACCATTGACTTGGTAGCTTGTTGATCCTCAGTGAAATCCCTGCATTGGTAAAATCCGCCCGAGTTTGATGAATCCATATAGAAATTTGGTGGGCGATTGAGTTCGATGACCAGTCCTCCCGGCTTTGGCGCGGTACCATCGGCACTCGGGCCTGGATCGCCAGATTCCAGGACAATGTTTTTGATAAAAGAGAATGGGTATTCGATCTTATATCCAGCAGAGTCGTTATTTATATAGTATGTCATGCAAGACTTTTCAGGTGAATAGAAAATCACCAAGTCCATGGCATTTTGGCCAACGCGACGCCAGCTACCAATTCTCAGGGAACGACATGCAAAGTGGTGGATCACGATTTTTCCAGAAGAGGTGGGTTCATGCATCTCGTTGGGACCATACCCGGGGCCTTTGTGGAACAGGTTGCGGGCGTGAGCTTTTGACGGATCAAAATGAAGGGCAAGATATTGGCGCATCGATTCGGGAATGGCGTCGCAGTCTTCACCCGTTTCGATGCCCTTTTTGGCAATCATTTTGATTTTGGCGCGTCTACAACTTTGAGTTAGTTTCTTCCATCCTGAAGAAATCTTTTTCTCGAAATAGAGAAAAAAAAAGGGATATATATTATATCAACAAGGGAAACCCACCGATTTTGAAACCAAATCTGAACCGACCGCTCAGTCATATTGATCTCTTCCGCAATCCTCTCACGCACTGCTGCTGTCGGGGTGGGGTTCTTATTAAACTCCATTTCAAGCGTGACCAGTTGATCCTGCGTTGCGCGCTGGCGTTTCTGGTTCTTCTGCTGTTGTGTCAAAGTGCTTTTTCGTGGCGGACGGCGGATTGATGCGCGGTTCTGCGTTGCAGAAGATACAGATACTGCGGAAGCATTGGTGGAAGATGGGGAGGGAGTCGATATTGTAGGGGTAGTGTTGTTGGTATTGGTATTGTTTGGCGTCACACCAGTGGATGAATTGATGCTGATGTTGTTAGTAGGGTCGTGGGGCATTGTCGTGGCCCTGGCCGTGATCGACGTAGCCACAGGCTCTGTAGTCGAAGACATAACTGTCAATGGAGATGTTTTGTAGTGGTGGTGGTGATAGGAGTGAGTGGATAGAATATTCGAGGCGGTCTAATGGATGGAAATAGTGCTGTCGCGAGCCGGTCGACAGATGCGAATGGGTCGTCAATTCGTAGAAATGTATTTCTCGAGGCGTCAAGCTCGAAGAAAGGAAATGGATGGAAAGCGGAGAGGTAAGTAATGAGCGGATATAGCTGGTCGAAAAGATATAATAACGATGGGTAAAGGAGTGACTGATGAATGTAAAAAGTAAGAGGAGTAAAGAAGAATCCAAAATGATTTTTTTTTTCTCGCCCGTTTCAAATGAGTGTATGGATATATAAACGAATGAATAAAGGAATGAATAGAAGTATTCCCGATTCCTATGAAGGAGGAAGAGAAAGGGACGGGAAAATAACCAGGAGGATGCGGAGAGTTTGGTTTGGGGACAAAGATTTCGCTCTATCCAGGGCCAAACTAACCCAACCACCAGGTGTCAAGAGATCGATGGGCCGTCTCTCTCACGGTAGATTATTCCAGACGTCGTCGATGAGAGAGATAGGATCGATGGGAAGAATGGTAGTCGAAGAAGCTGAACCAAGGCAGCGTAGTGGTAGAGGCGGGAAGGGCTTTGAAGGGAAGCAGCCTCATGGGCCAAGTCGGGTCTCTGTTTGTATATCCTGATATATATAATATATATATATATAAGTAAGGTATATACGGTGTAGATCCTTAGTAGTGAACGAAAGGAAGTAGGCAAAAAGGGCGGGCAGAAGAAGAAGCAGAAGGAAGAACTAAAAGGAATCCAGGCTGAAGGAGCGTTATTGGATGAAGCCGTGAAGGAGTGAACGGACTTGAATCCAGGGATATGGGGGCCAGCAGACAGACGATGGGGGCAAAAAGGAAATAAATAATGAAAGAAAAAGACGACCAGTATAGGCTGGGGGGGGGGGAGGAGAGGAGGAGGGGAGTAAAGGGGAGGGAGGAGGAGAGGGAGAGGATAGCAGAGCCCCCGGCGGTGTTTGGCCCAGGGTAGCCAGACACACACACACACCACACACCACACAACTTTCAACCACACCAACAGACAACCGCAACGACACCACAAGTCAACAACGACACACAACTTCAACCACACACCAATCAGAGCCTGGCTTAGACTGACTCCAGGTACAAGGCACCAAGGACTGGCTGCTAGTCTCAACCCAGTCTAGTGTTGGCGCCGGAACCCGCTGCTGATTGGGGCCTGGCTGGAACCTTGACTGGAACCTTGCTCCCCACCAAGGCACAAACCTTGAAACCGGAGAAAAAATAAGAAAAAGACAAGAGAAAAAGACACTGGAAAAGCGTGTTTTGCTGTAAGCGGCTAGCCAGATCGCGGTGGCCAATCAATCCTACAACGAAGCTTCCCAGATATGGTTGGGCAAATACCAGGTACCCGGCTTTCCTGGCAAACAAATACTGTTCAGCTGAGGTACTTACTGTCCATAAATCAATATATAAGGTTATTTTCAATTCCCCCTTTTCTACATTCCATACGAAGATGCTGATATATATATACTAGATATGCGGAATATATACAGACTATACCCAGGACATATATGTATGTCGTCCCACCTAAAAAAAGAAACAAGTGGTGCGGTTTTGACGCTTGAGGCGAAGTCCGATTCCTCCCTCTCTCCCCCCTCTATGCTATGCCACACCATGCCACTTTGGAGAGAAAAGGTGATAGGTTCCTCAAGATATCAACATCAAAGCTCTCTATATCGAATTCAACTCTGCTTTATTTTTATTTATTTTATTTATTATTTTGTTTTTCCATCTGTAGCTAGCCGGACTACATATCTGACACACTTCTGACACACAAGAGCTGTCAGCCGTGATCCGAAAATACAAAATCAAAATCAAACTACGCCTCCAGGCTTCAAGTAATGCCCCTCTCTGCCTTTGCCTCTGCCTCTTTCTCCCTGCCCACTGCACTACCCATGATTCAAGTTACTAACTCGCATGGATCCATCCACTACTCAATAAGTAGGACCATGAGGATAACGTATACTTCGTACAGAAACAGCGAAAAGATCCAATGCATTCTGCAGGTCTGACGGTCTGACGGTCTGACAGGACCAGGGGAAAAGAAAAAGGGGCGGGGCCCATCAAGGACTGGGTACACATGTACACATGTACAGTACATTACACACGCCTACAAGTGCGGAGTATATCTAGCCTTTTCCCGCCCGCTTTGCCTAGTCAAAACCTTGGGAATCCATACTCCACTCTGTAAGGCACAAACTCTATGTACAGTTACTATGACAGCATCACCGGAAAAGGAAATAAAAAATAAAAAACGGTACTCTTAAAGCAAGAGATATTGATGCCATGTAACCAGGCAGCGAGGCGCCGGCACTCTCCTGCTCCCCCAGCCATTTCCTTCTCTTTTCCTTACCATTCGCTTTTGTTGTGGAGTAAGTTAGTTACCATCGTCTGTTATAATTTACAGAATTGCAAATAGTTCGCATCTTCACCTTCAACCCCCCAAGGCAATGGAGTAACATTCCAAGGCAGCGAGCGTACGTACCATAGCTGTTCTGAGACAAGCAGCATGAGAAAACAATTAAAAAAAAATACCCGACAAACCAAATGCAAACCCACCCCCCCCCCCCCCCGGGGAGGGTTCCTCTTGGGCTTATACAGACTATTGACAAGCTATTATTATTTTCTCCGAAGCAAGACACTCCACTGCAAGAAAACACGCATGCACATGTCCGTTCCGACGAACTATTTGCACTGTTGCATGACATCCAAACCCTCATCCCCTCCCTCGCTTTTTTCATAATATACCCCATGATTTCTTATATTGATATTGATATCCGGCTCAGACTCGACGGCGACAGGGACTGCGACAATATACACAAATAGAAATAATCTATTTATGTGTATTTGCCCGCGCACAAGGGAGAGAAAGAAGAAGACAAAATGAAAGCAGAAAAAGCTATATGTAGAATGAGAATAGTCAATTAATTGATGTGATTGAATGTTGATCTTCTTCTCTTCTTTATATGAATATTGATATTCATATTTATATCTATACATATTGAACAAGAAAATCAGAAAGAGAAAGTACTGATATCTTCAACTTAAGAGTCAGACCACTGTACAGCATTGCTGCTCAATTCAGATTGCTATAGTTATTTTAATGTACTGAATATTTATTTCAATCTATCTATCAGAATCAGATATTCATTCTCCTGCTTCTATTTCTTTTGTTATCTCATGAGCTATTTATTCTTCTTATCTAGTTTTCCCCTTTCTCTTTATTTTCTTCCCATCTTAAACTCGGAGGTTCTTTTAAACTCATCTGAACCTTAACGCCCCTTGCCGCCGCCAAACCGTCAATCACAGGGGATCTACAGAGAGAGATTAGAACGTTTATACAGCTATATCAATCCACCTTCTTTTGCTTATTCAGTAGTATGGATGTGGCCTTGAAAAGTCTGATTCTGATCTCAGATTATACACACTCTGTAGTTAATCTCCTTGCCATGTTTTCCCTGTTACTTACCCAGGTATGTAGGCACAACATGCACAATTACGTACCCTAGGTGACGTTTGTATCCGGAGAATTTCTATTCCTCCGAAGCCCGCCAGCCCCCCACCCCGCGCTCAGCTCTACGCAGGAGTTTCTATTTCATCTTATTATTACCTACCTACCTTATATCCAAAATAAATTTTGTCCATATACTTCCACTCGCGGAATATTCTTCCGGTTTACAGCTGCAGGCTGCAGGCTGCAGGCGACACCCTGCATATATGCAGTGCAGTATACGGTATGCAGAGCGCCGTGCGTGGTTCGCGGTATGCAACATGCAAGCCCCATGAAAGAAAACCAGGTGTGTTCTGCAGGCATAAAAAGGAAAAGAAAGATGAAAGAAAAAGAGAAGTTTTGAAAGAAACAGAAAAAATGAGGGGAAAATGAGTTATTCCATAATCAGGTTCGTTTTTATGTATAGAAGAATCTTCTCATCATCATTATTATGTTTATGTGTTTCTCATTTCCCGCCTGCTTTCTGTCTAGTAGTTATTTTAACACTGCTCAAGCTCACTGGCCGCATTTCCTTCTACTACTAGTATCAACATAGAGGTATGATATTGTCTGTATGTTTCAGCACACCCTCGAATAATCTCAATGCACAGTGCCATACAAGCTATCTATACCTAGGTAGGTAGTAAGTAGAGCTGTCCACAGGTGGCTGTACCCTCCTTCGCCCGTTGACAATTAATTGCCCATGACTGCTACACTGCAGTGCCTGTCTGGCTGTGTTTGTCCTGCGATGTGCTACTCCACCTGCGACGGTTGAGTTCAGGTACTGTACGACGCTATATCCAAAATTTGGTTTGCCTAAATTCTCCGAGTCAGACATGGCATCGCGGGTCTACAAGGTACTATGTAGTATAACATGGGTTTCTCATTGTTTTCTTTGATCTCAAGAACCCACTATTTCTCATTTCAGTTGTTAATTGCCCCTTGAGTTATTTTGCGCACAGGTTGTGACTAGCTGTACATGAGTGGAGTGGAGGAGTGCCTACATTCAATTGTGAATATATGGAGGTGTTTTATGGATGGAAAGAGGGAAGCAAAGCAAGGCCAGGGGTATCTTTGAGATTTTGCAGATGCATGTAATGTACTTATATATATATAGAGACAAATGTTTAAGAGTTCAGATAACATTGATATTTCAACCTATGTCAACAAAGGAATAGACCACAGATTGAAGAGGGATGCTGTCTCAAACTATACATCTTATATATAGAGCTCACTTCATAGTTACTTCACACTTGATGATTGTTTGTACCCACTTCTGATTCAAATGTTTCTCCATTCTTATCATCTTCAACTCTCATGTGTTAAAAGCCCTTTCCTAACCATTCATTCAAAAAGAAGACAATCCATCCCATTGGAAATGTCATATAGCAAGGCTTGCAGGTTAAGGTTCTGTAACTAGATCGAAGTCCAAAGCATCAGAACACACGCAACACTAACGCGCTTGCGGCGGCTTTTCACAGCCCCCCCATTGATCCTGGATGTATTTATTTATTTAACTATAGATATTTCCAGGCTTTGCTGAGTTGCAAGACGTAATTTCGCATCTATGTTAAAAAATAATTAAAAAATAAAAAATAAAAAAAATAAAAATAAAAATAAAAAAAAGGCTCCAACCATAGAATAGGGAATCAATAGATACTTAGGTAGGCAACTAGGTAGCTAGCGTTCATAACTCGTATGTTGAACACGCTTACTCCGTACATGTTACATGTTTGCTACAAAGGTACGTCCAGACACTTCTATTTACACATAGAATTGTCTTTACCAATGGCCATAGAAAGTCCATCGTTCACCAGTTCCCATATATCTTTTTCTTATTTTATTTATTGGACCTTTTGGGTTAGCCTTTCTTCCAGCGGTGCTTAAGCTATTTCTGCTCTTAAGAAACCGGTGCAGTGGTCGAAGATACCTCGACTGATGTAAGTCCCAAGCATTGGACGGAGGATACTAAACAAGGGTAACTTGTGTTGCCGAAACGGCTTTCAGCCGTCGCGGGAGTAACTATTTCTTCCAGAATCTTCTTGCCGATCCTGCGATTTGAAAAAAAAGAAAGAAAGAAATCGACATACGCTGTACAGTCAGTCCCCACTGACGTCGCGCAGTAGATCGCCCTCGTCAGCGCCATCCGATTTAAAAAAAAAGCAAAAAAAGAAAAAGAAAGAAAAGAAAGAAAGAAAGAAAGAAAAAAGAAAGCAGAAAATATGACATGTTCTGGTCGAGAGAGCGGTCGATCACTCTCTGGGCCCCTTTTCCACTGCGGTGTTATCGCTGCTGATGAGAAAGAGGAAGGGCCTTGACTGGAGCTAGATTGTCTTCCTTGACTTCCTCCAGAATACTCCGTACTGTTAGCAGGGTTTTGCCAGCTTCAGCTACCAAGCTACTGCTAGTGCCTATATGGGTCCTTTATCCCAACCGCCAAAGTGGATAAATGGGGGCCCGCGCCAGTGCCGACGCCCCGACTACCAACCCAACTACCAAATCGCCAGGATCCTGGGGTTGGGACATGGCATCCTTCAAGTTCCGGCACATTCGGGGCCATGTGATGATCCGATTTGGACCAGGTCGCGGTGCCTAGCACGAAATCCAGACCGCCGTGAAGGAATCCCAAGACACTAATCGTACATAGGGTAGGATTGGCGATGCGATCCTGCAGGGCTGTCATGGCCGTGATGGCTGGGCATCTCAGCGACCTTTCGGTGAAAGGGGTTTAGCCCCATTGTTCTCGTTTTAAATAATAATCCTTCCCCCGGTCTTCTGCATCCGCTCGTTAGGCAGGCCAATGCGTGGGGAGGATGGATACGGAGTATTCGGGAACGAATTGATGTAGTCTGTAAGCCGGGAGGGTTTCATTTGATGAAGATAGAGTTAATAAAGTGTACCCTTCCTCAAACGTTCGATGGTAGTTATTTTTGGGAAATATAAAATAAATTAAAACAAAGTAAATAAAAAGCTCAATGCTCCTTTTATAACGTGTTAATGTAGCTGGGTACTGTACTCAAATAAATCACTCATATCTCTTCATGCTTGTTCCCAGCTTCCCTCTGCATGGCATCCACCCATAGACATCCGAAGATATTTTTTATCATCAATTAATATTCTAACCGGGAAGTCAACTCACGTAAAACACCTAGCCGTTACAACATCTGCACGCATGACTCGACTGAACGCCCGTCAGCAGCCAACAACCGACTTGATTTGCAGCTTTGCCTCGTTCAGGTCAAGGGTTTTCTATTTTTTGATTCCCTATCCCTATCCCTGCTTGCTATCACGGCACTTTGTGGTTAGAATACGGGACTTAAGGACCATCACGACGCCTCAAAATACGGAAGGCATATATCCATGGATGGTAAAGAGGACGCGGCAGAGTGTCTGTTCGTGGAATGGTGTGATTTTATATGTATTCTTGTTTTGAAATCACCCAATGGTCCTCTGCTGAACGCAAAAATGGCTCTCGGGTTACATACTCAATAAGCCGATTTGATCGCTCGTGGTTAACAAACACATGTACTTAATTTACCTGATGAAACAAAAGCAAGTACCCGAGTTTCGTTTTGGATGACTCTGTTAGCTAGCAAGTTCGATACATGTACAGTACATACAGTGTCACAGATGATGAGCCATGAACCACCCCAGCTTTTCCGTGCTTGTTCGGGAGATCGAAAAACAAGGTCATGCTTCTAGCGGAGGAAGATGTGTGTTTCATTACCCTCTATCTCCTATTTCATGGACCGGCACAAGTAGCCTTGTTGGTAGAGCCTTCCGACCATTTGTCCCTGGAGGCAGCGGCGAGGGTTAGCCAAGATGCTAAACAACTCCTATCTGACGCGACGGTTTGAGCAGCTGGTGCGCTTTGTATCGCCCAACTAGCAGTGTAAATCGGATCAATGTGTATCTCCTGACTCTCAGTCAACCATTACATGTAACTAGGCAGGGTGGCCATCAAAATGTATATATATATTCTGAAGCGAAGAGCCAAAAAGGAGTTGTGCTGATTGTTTATATATCTGTATAATTTGATAGTACTTGGGCAGTATTATGGCTGTGGAGGATGAAGAGAGGTGGGATTCGGGTAGCTAGCTGCCTGAGAGGCTGAGAGATCGATGATATCAATTCAAGGTCCTTGGCTAACATAGCTCGCTCAATATATTCTGCCGCGCCGGAGGTTACAAGGGGAGATAAGAATCGTGGCAAATCCCATGTATTTCCCCATAGGAACTCGCCAATGGAAGGAAGAGGAGCCAAAGACGGATGGTAGGGAGCATGAGAGATATTGAAATTCTCGTTTGACACAAAGGGAACAGTCCTGCAAGGAGAAATCCGAGAGCTTCCCGATTCCAGCTGGGAGCATAGCCCCCATCTTTTCTCACATATTCTCACCTAGCTGGCAGTTTCATGTACGATTCGAGTCCAGGCCCCCAAATCTCAAATTCAAAGTCTGTTCGATGCAAACGGCGAATACGATATCGAGTACGTAAACCACCAACATATGTAACTGAGCTATCCTGACACGGGCGGAGTCGTAGAAGCCACACCTTGGGAAGATAATTGTAAGCCCCGGGTACCAGTAGAAGAGGAAACTCTCGCCTTTTTGTAATCACCAACACTACTTCATCCGGCTATGCTCGGACGTTGTGTTCCCATTGCCAGGAAAGAGAGGGAAAGGACCCCAGGATCTTCGTTTGAAAAGACTTCAATCACACTCAATTCTGCGGTAGCTGATCGATATATACAAGACACAGAAGATCACCCTGCATGAGAACGGGAATAGGTGTCAGAGCCATGCACAAGAAGCCCGTAGCGACTCTACACTCCCCATTCAAGCAGACTCCATCCTGCTGACTTTAGAATATAGGCATTAACTATCCTTAGCATTTTGTTGTCTACGTTTCCCAGTGATTTTTGAAGCTGCCAACAACAAATTCAGCCATCATAAACCAGCACAGTACATCGTCTCTCACGGTAGAGAATTTTCCGTCGATGCACGCTGAGGAAAGTGATTCGACCCCGGTCTATACCAGTTCATCGTCACAACAAGTACGCCTTCGCGTATTCCGATGCCAGTGATAGAGATCCGGAGCATGGATAAATAGGTGTCTCCTGGCAGTGCCAGCAATGGCGTAGACAAGACATCCTGGAAACTTATAGATATATCAACTTTTCGTGTCTAGTAATGATGGAGGACAATTTTAGCTCTATCAGGGTTATAAAGATGGAATTAAGAATCTGACATACCTAGAGCAGTGTAGATAAATAATGCCAGTGGAACCTTATCCAAAAACATCCACCCAAATTTGGCTGTCAATTAATACCACGGACGAATTGAGAGTGGGCATTCCCAAGAAAAAGTCTTATAGACCTCCCATAAACCAAAATAAAAGATAAAAGTTGTTGCTCCCGTTCCTTTCAAAGGGTTTATCCGTACCTACCCGTACCTCTAGAGTCCACTGCGATCAACTTTCCCAACCTCTCGGCACCGCTGGCGCAACTCCCCTTCGCCTTAGGTACCGCTCTAACCTCACTTCCAATTTGGCCAACTTGCCTCTAAAATCCATACCCTCCCTCCCTTCATCATCCCCCTCTACACCGACAGTCACCCCCAGTTGTGTCCAAATGCTCCACGACCCCATGAGTCCGGCCATAATTATGTCTGTGCCAAGGCGATCACCCACTACCGCGACCTCGTCAGGAGAAGTGATCGCATTCTGAGCACGAAGGTGGGCAAGAACGGAAGGATATGAAAACGGTTTCTTTAGCGCATGATGTTTTGGCGGAACTTCTGAAGCTTCGCTAGAACCAACGGCCTTCAGAGGGACGCCGGATCTGAAAACGGGGATTTGTAAATGGGACAGGATCGACTCGATGTGATCTGCTTCTTCCTCATAAAGAGCAATATTTGGATCACTGCCTGCAGTGTTTGAGACGATTAGCATTCCGTGCGGGTTATTGTGCATGTTGAAGGGGGAGGAAGGATTGGTGCGGAGGTCCTTAAGCTTCTGCAGGTAGGCGGGCGGGATTATGCGGGATTCTGGAGGGGTGAGGGTGTTGTCTTTGTCGATTACGAGGGCACGAATTTTGGGCGGGAACTGATGTCGATTGGAACTGCTGCTTGGTGTGGAGAAGTAGGAGGAAGGAATAAGGTGATCTCCGAGGTTTTCTTCTGGGAGCTGAAGGAAGGTTGGGATGGTGTAATTGGGGACCAGGAGGGATGGATTTCGGAACAGCGTGGATATGGCAAGATTGAAAGCCGGAATGTTTGGATTGAGTGGACGCCGCATGGTAGCCTCTATATTAAGGGGAATTCTCTTGTGTAGTTATATTTGGAGGGGAGGGATATGTAGCTCCAGCTTCAGCGGGGTGGAAAAGCTAAGATGTATTATAAACGGAGGTAGATAATTTTATTGGTACCATAGGATTTAATTGAAAAGGAAAAAGGAAAATAATTGACTTGTTAACTAAATATATTAAGTGACTGTCTGCCCAGGGCCAGAACGGAAGTCTGCTTGTTGTTGTTGATGATGACGATGTTATTCATGCTGATGTTGATGTGAAAGATGAAGCTGAAACTTGAGTGGAGAGATGCGGCTCCAAAGCTTAATTTTGCTGGCAGATGCAATATTGCCGAAAGCGGTAACTAACTAACTTGAACCAACGTCTTCCTGTTCCAACCACGCTTCTTCTGACAATCCGCGAGTGATGCCATGACCTGCGCGTGACCCTAACTGGCATTATCTGGACTTTTATTTAACGATATACGCTGAGTTATTTGGTTTTTTTATTCAATTTCAATTACATATTCAGTTTCCCGGCTTTGGCGCATTTTCAGTTTCGAGATGGGTAAATTAACGAGTACTATCGGAATCCCCATCAAGCTCCTCAATGAGGCGCAAGTAAGTGTCCTTCCCATTTGCGCGCCTTCCTTGCGCATACCCTACTTTTCTATCGATAGGCGCAAATGATATCCTGTTCCTTTGTCGCATGTAGTACTTCGATTTTAAATACCTGTTTACTTACGATTCCGTTGCTACCTGTAGGGCCATGTCGTTACATTAGAGATCACTTCCGGGCAAGTCTATAGAGGAAAGCTGCTTGAAGGTGCGCGGACTATATCCGGATTCCATAATTGGTGATCGTTCTAGCTATGAAGATTGTCGAGGTTCCATGAACGAGGGCCCATGACTGCCATTATATGCGAAATTTTTTGCTGACTTGGGTTGACTTACGCGCAAACAGCCGAAGATAACATGAACGTCCAACTTAAAGATATTACCGTCACGGCTCGCGATGGTCGTGTTTCGCATCTTGACCAGGTCTACATTCGGGGGAGCCATGTGAGATTTTTCATTGTACCGGATATGCTGAGGTATGGTATCAATATAACCCCGTGTGTTTTGGCCACCTCATGTTTTGTTTGCTTTGATGGGCTGCTCTTCTTCCATTTTTGATGCGTTGGCCGCTCTTTTCAGATGTCCGTACGATTTAGGAAAAGTCACTAATATATCTCGTCGTTTAGAAACGCACCCATGTTCCGGTCGAGAGGACAACGCGGCAGAGGTGTTGGTCTGGCGAGAGGCAGAGCCACTGTCAACAGAGCTCGGGGTCAACGGAGGGGTTAAAATGACATTGTTTTTCTAGTAGTGAATAATTGGAGTTATTCTTTTTTCGCGGATGAATGAAAATTTGAACGATTGGGCGTCTTCTCGTATCAGGCCGTCTCCACGGAATACAGGTGCCATTCTTCTGAAGTTATTTCAGCTATACGTTTACATGGACTGGTCCGAAAATATGGATAAGAAAAGGGACGAAATTAGCAAATTGGAGCAATATAGATACCATTTTCTGTTGAAACAGTCATGGGTTTGTTCATTAGTGGTTGAAATGCGGATTTCATATTCCCTAAATAACTGCTAGTTAGAATGAAAAAAGTCTCCATATGCCATCCCAGATTATAGTAAATGTAGATGTCAGGCCCCTGAGTTTGGCTGTGCTGGAAAAGCAAACCATCTTAGGCGCATGTGGGAAGCATAGTTGTTGGTCTGATGCGGGATCTCCGAAATTAAGCTGGGCCAGACATTTCTCAATAGGCCTTCAAGCTGACCGATTTGAGGAATCCACCACTCATCTATCTACAATAAGTACGTCGCAATCTAGACGATTTCTCTATTCATTAATATATTGACGGCTAAATCCCATGCGCCTCGAGGGAATAAGTATATGATATCACCACATTCCTCCTGCCATCCCGCTCCCCCGCAATCCTGACTCTTCCCCGCCATAACCTCATAACCCTATGCCCTCACGCTGAACCTCACGATGTCCTCCCCAGGATCACAGAAGGAGAAGTCCTTGAAGAATACAAAAGCGGCTCCACGGATCTCAAACCCACGCCGTCTCTTAATCCTAACCCCAGCTCCGCACTCCCACAACGTTGTTCCTCCATTTCTTCACAGCCTAACTGGAGTCCCGGTCACAAATGCGCCTCAAGCTACAAACGACGCGCAGTCAGATGGAAAAGCAGGTGAGCTATGAGAATGTGATATATATCCTTGTGTCTACGTGCCCTGAACGCCTAATAACTTCCTTCTTCGCCCTTGGCTCTGATTAGAACCCTTCACACCGAGTAGTGCAGAAGACGACGTCGTCGTAAGCTCTACATTTGCTGGATACACCACACATTCGCCACTACGAATAGAGACCAAATATTACACGGCGGATATACCGATATGGGTCGACGAGCTTCCTTTCCTTTATAATAATAGTGCATCCGCACCTTCATTAACGCAAGTCCAACCAAACGAAACTGGATGTATAGACGCGGGTTCTCAGCTACCCCTACACAATAACCTCGCCGCCTGGGGATCAGAATTCCTTTCCGATGAAGCTCGGGAAGTGCGAGATGTCATTGGTGCCATTGTCGTCTGCATAGAGAGGCCGACCATAGCGCCATCGGTCTCATTTCCCAGTGATGATGACCCGGACATGTCAGGGGACAGGGAACATAGAATGGGGATTGCGCAAGGCATAAAGGAACTTGTGAGTACGGTTGCGGAGGTTAGGAATCGAATTGAGGAGGAGCGCGGTGGGTTGGGCGAGGTTCCGGGGTTGGTTATATTAGTGGGGAAGGATGAAGGGGAGAAGAAAGCGGAGAATGTGAAGGGGAAGAGAAATGGTTTGGGAGGACTAGAGGACAGCGGTGATGATGAAGTGGAACAGATTTTGGAGTTTAGTACTAGGTGGTGGGAAGACGAATTATCTGAGATGGGACATTTCGAATTGGAGGTTGTAGCGTGGGATCCTCAGGATGAGGGAAATGGGGATGAAAGGAATAATTTTGGAGGTTTGTATTGTTTCTCTTTGACGGTCTACTATATATTATATCTCGTCTATATTTCTCTTCCCCATTAATTTCCGGTCTTCTGCTTTTATCTCTGGGTTATTAACTTGCTAAAATTCCGAAATTCCTGCAGAACTCCAGGGCATGCCACGGATAAGGGAAGTCCTGCGGACGAACGAGTGGACCTCATGTAGCCAAGGGGATCTATCAACAGACTTCCTTCTCGACTCTGATGGAGAAACTGGCTTCGACAAGGAAGCTAGTGAGCTCGAGCGCGAAATGTTTGATCTTCGACTGGCGATTGAAAAAGGGGGGGATGAGCTTGGTACCGGCGAACCAGGGCCAAAAAATGAAGACGAGGAGGATGAACTTCAGGTTGAAAGGATGGATGGATTAATGTTGAGAATGCAGGCTATTAAAGGTGAGCATATTTATGATTGCATCCTGTCCATTTGGTAAATTGAAAGAGGGAATGCGGCTTGTCACATTGCCTTCTTGGTGGACACGCCAACTAACCCGCCAATAGATATGGCTGCGGAATTGCCTGAGGCAGAGCGCAAGGCGTTTGCGGTTAAGGCGATTAATGATATCATGAAGGATATTTAAATATTTACGAATGGAGTAATGAACAGTGTCAAACATACCCGCTTTTCAAGAAAGCTTCTAATAATACAGCCAAAACGACATAAGTCTCCGATCAACTCCAGGTAAATCGCATTGCTATACATATTCCAACCCGTTTTACGCCAATTCCGCCATCTATTCAGTCTTGCTATTAATCAGTCAGCCTTCTTGGAGGCTTTAAATACCTTTCTCCTTTGAGACATCATATGCGTATACAGAATGAATGAGCCTATCATGAAGACAAGTGTTAGCGATCACGATCCCAACACAAGCAAAATAACATGTAATGTTGAAAGAAAACAAAATCGAATAAAGAAGAGGGGAAATCGATTAGAGGGGAGAAACTTACCAGGCACGTAGATAACCAGTATCAAACTAAAAAACCACGCAACCAGGGGTTGAATATCCCACGCCGGCGTAATGGCCTTGTAAATCAATGTACACTCACTCGTAATACCAATTGGATAGAGGACGAAGAAAGTATTATATCTGACAGGGTCATCAAGTTAGTCTCCGGTCAGGCAATGAATAAGCAAAATCCAGATGACAAGCGCCGACCACGATCACCAGCCGCAATCACAAAACAAAAACCATCAACCAACCCACCGACCCAAGCGGAGTGGAGAAGAAAAAAAAGTAACAAAAAAAGAGAGAACATACCTCAACCAAAGCAACCATCGCGGCATTGCAACACCCAAAACCTGCACCACAAAATATCCATATCGAATACACTCCGTAATCCCCCAAGCGCTCAAGCAGCCAACAACCATCCAATCGGCCAGTTTCCACCCAGGCTCCGTACTCGTAGCGCCTACAACCCCCTTTTCCTTCCCAATCCTATCCACCGAGAAAAAGAACATAACAAACCAGACGACTAGAATACGGCTGCCAACCTGCATCGCCGTCGTGATAGGGGATGCACGCACGAGCCTTACGACCGCGTGTAAGATTTCCAGCAAGGCGAGGGATTGCGTGAAGAGAAGGAGCGGGAATAGGTCATCGAAGATGTGCGCGACATGGCCAGTGGGAACGAGGCGGGCGAGGAGGAATATCAGTCGTATGGTTATGGTGGCCCAGAGGGTGAAGGAGAGGGTGTTGTAGCAGATGAGGTAGGTTTGTGCCGCCGTGGAGGGTGGTTTGCTGACGAGATTCTTGCCATTGGGGGGTTTGGATCCCGCCATTTTTGTTTTGGATAATCTGTTTCTACCGCCTGCTTCGACTAAATGCTATATAGGTCTGTTCTCCTCCTCCGTTTGTTTATTCGTTTTGTAGTGGGTGTTCCAGGTTTCTGAATGTTGGCTTTGGGCTGCGTTGCCTGGCTTGATTTAGTCGGATGGCGTTGCTAAAGTTCTTTGTCCGCTCAATTGAGAAGATAATACCTATAGCCGTTATCTGAGAAACATTTGATTAGGACGGGCAACGGAAACGGCCACTGGTTGTCTATTAATTATGTTGCGCAACAAAAATAAAGCTGGAATGTTTGTTGGATACGAAAAAGACAAATTTGTTGATCCTCGGCAGGAAGCTTGGGCATGCCAAGACTGCCCCAACGCAAAGCTCCGGAGGGGCAATAACCATGTCTGATATTTCATTATATGTAAATAACTATGAAGTACACAGCATTTGATTAACTACAAGACTATTAGGCAATTTATTATTAAAAGATATCATTACCCGAAAACATCAGCAAACAGACAAAAACACACACAGGGGCATCTTGCTCTCAGGCAAACCATCACATCAATTCGCTCAACAAGATATCCATCCAACCATCCTCTTATGGGTGTCCACTCGAAGAGATATTATTATCCGGTGATTGCATTTGAGCTTCATTGACTCTGGAAATTATTATCCACCTTTCCATGGAATAAGAATATGGACGAGAGAAAACAAGAATTCGGTATCATTATCATAATAAGACAAGGTGATTTTGCATACTTCCAAAAGAACCGAAAAAAAAAACAGCACGAGCTGGAATAGGGTGTTGAATAAAGAGTTGAAACTATCCCATCACTCCTATTCTAACACCATCAGACTTGGATATTGGCTTCGGGGACAACGTGAGCGCCGCTAGGCAGTTGAGTGCCTCCAATTCCACGTTTTCCCATGGTCTGGTCGGTCTTGCTGATGGGTTCCTCAATCGAGCCAATTCCCGAGTCCCTGGCCGTAGTCCGAGAGCGAGTTTTGCGTGTAATAGGGGCTAACTTGGGCAGGCTCGTAGACTGGGTAGCATCGCCAATGCTAAATACAGGCGATTCCCATCTGTCGCCTTTGGCAGCAAGCTCCTGATATACTGTAGCCTTGGAAGATATGCCACCTGGCAGCTTGATATTCTGGAAAAGAGCACTAGGCTCCGTGACTGCGAGATTAACTTTGGTATCTCGTTTCTTCGCAGTGTCTTTCTTCTCCTCTGCTTTCTTTCGCATGTCCATCACTTGCTTGCGAAATGCATCAACGTAATACGAGTAAATAGTGTGGTTTTGCTGCGGGTCGCTGCGAGCAGCCTTCCAAGCATGCTGCGCTTCATTATGCACAGCATATGCGAACTTGTCACCGCGTACAAAGGTGTCACGAATTTGTTTTTCTAGAACCTTTTCCACGGCAGGGCGCATCGCAACATAGAGTAGAGGCTTAAAGAGCGTGAAAAGAATCTTATGATTCGACTTCTTGAGCTTAATTTGTAGGTTGTTAACATGGACGGAAATCTTTTCTGGCTTGAATAGGCTGTCGGCTACGTCACTGGTGGATCCGGAAATCTTGAAGTTGAATCCTTCACCACCCATCATTATGTCCATAACTCCGGTATCAGTGAGACTAGGGAACCCAGTTTTCTTCTTGATGTAATAACTGACATCTCTCCAATCGGTTTGTATCCCAGTCGCTGCTACCATGACCTTAAAGGGGAGTTAGTATGTTTAATGAACTGCGCTACCAACAGATACGGAATGCTCAAAACATCACTAACCTTGTTTGTATGCTTGCTTCCGATTCTCTTGCGACCCCAGCGCCAGTAATTGTCACTACTAAGTTCGACGACATTGGGCAGCAAATTGTCGCTCTCAAGGACAAGGTTTTCGACCACCTTCATAATTATATTAGTACTTGAGATTCAACTCGTGTCCGATAAAAGTTACTCACCACATCAGCCATTGGGTCAGATACTTCAATACGGGGTAGGGGGACATAACGTATTTTCTCGAAGATTGAAGGCAAGATGATGCTGGTAACATCCTTCATAAGATGCTCCTTAAATACTATCTTTCCAGAGGCGTCGTAGCCGAGATCGTGAAAAAGTTTTTGCAATGAGTTGCCAAACTCTTTGTTCAGGGGATCTTGGTCAAATTGGTCCCCAAGAAATTTTATCTCATCCACTATGGAATCTATATTCTCACGGTACTTGTCGCGGAGGAGGAATTGGCCTTCATCGTAAAGGCTATTCCATTCTTCATTTGCCGAATCCTCCAAAACATATCCTTGCTCCCGAAGACATTTCCTGAAGTACCCAGTGATTAGACATTAACCGTGATGTAAGACTTCTGGAAGTTCAAGGCTTACCTGATAAAAGAATTCACCGATTTAAACCAGTCTCTTAGTCGAGGATCCTCATCAGCGGCATGATAGAAATCCTTGACGTAATCGAGCAGATTGTCCATTGAAGAACTATTCGCGAAGCGTTCGAGGATAAGCTGCAGTCGTTTCATCACATCTTTATTTTCCTCTACCAGTCCTAAAGCCGCACAATTAGTAGGGTTACATTCGAATGGCGGCGAACCGCTCACACACCTTTTGTAGATGAAGCACCCTGCTGAGAGATGCCTCTACCATGGCCACTGTAAGTTTCGGCAAGCGAAAGAAGCGTTTCAATTGCTTGTTGGTCTAGAGTAAAAAATGCATTTAGCAGTGTTCTAGCATTGTCGCCAATTCTGTGTATCGCTCACAGTCAGAATGGCCCTGAATTTCCACAATCATCCTTTTTAGGCGCCAAATTGTTTGATCGCGTCGCTCCTTGGGCATCTTCTCACGGAGAAACTCCTTTGTCCTCTCGGTAAGTTCACGGGATCGGGTCTTGGTTTCCTCTGGGACATTCTCAGATACTTGTTCTCCGACTGCCTGAGCCCCTGTGATTGCACCGGATGTGGCTTCAACGCCACCCTCAGGGCCGCTTGGACGAGCTGCTTGATCTGCAGTTCCCGTTGCGTCTCGGGCGCTTTTGCTCGCCTAGAGAGATATGAGTAACGGAATGGATAGTAACACGAATCACTGCAATCTTACCTTTTCCTTTTTTTGTCCCACCTGTGATTTAACCTGTGACTTAACTTTGGCGCTCGAAAGGTCAGGTTTATCATGCCAAACATTTTCATCCGCAGGCTCGTCTATTCCTGCCATCTCTTCTTCTGAAGGCCTGATCTTCCCTGCAGCCTTCTGAGCCGCATCGCTAGCCATATCGCGCATTAGGATTGTCGCATCGCGAACTAGGAGCCGAATTGTTAGCATGGGGGCGATTCAGTTTAGCACGCCCGTGGGGGATACGTACGAAGCTTCCGGAACTGGCCATTAGTTATCAGCAAGGTAGCGAGCGTTTGAAGCCCTTCAGCAGCTCGCGTACGATCCTGTTTCGCAGCATCTCTGTCAACTGTAACCTCTGGTGTCTGCATCGTGGTGCGCTCTCCAATATGCTCCAAGTCCCAGATGAGCTCTTGTATCAAATTGCCTTCATTTTTGACAAGGATAAGCATTTTGGCGTTCTCGATCACATCACGAAGGTCTTTGATGAGTACGTGGCCATCGGACGAAAGATTATCAGGAGGCGAAGACAGGGCACCTGACGCTAAGAGGCTGTTCAGGGCGATATCGATTTGTTTGTTCTAGAGATGTTTTAGCAGAAGACGCCCATGACTTTTGGCCATACGAACATACCGATGGAACCTTCCCATTTTTGAATGCTAGGACCCGGTATTGCAATTAGCGATGAATGTTTAATGGCACCTGGCACTGAGAGCATAAGGATGCTACAAACCAGAGTAAATGCCGTAGAGCTGAAGTTTGCGATTGATATCCTACATTTCGCCGAGCGTTAGAAGAGATGTTTGTGACAGACCGGCGATTGCAATACATACCGCTTCCTTCACCTTTGAATCCGAAGGAACATTGACTGTGCCGCGATCCATGCTAACGCTAGCGATGGACAAGGAGTCGTAGTATTGGTGATGGGGACTCGAAGATATAGCTTGTATAACCAAAGGGGGTGAACTACTAAGGCGGTGGGCTCAGACAAGGCTCTCGATTGATAAGGAAATGCCAGCGCAAGGAAGGCGACTAGCAAGTACTGTGTTGGGCTTTTTCCCTTCAGGGGTATCAAAATATCAGGGTATCTCGGGTGGTAGCTTGGTAAGTTCGAAGTTTGCACAATTATTGATATTCGAGTAGAAATAGTCGAATTGGAGCCAAACAAGCAAAAGAATATTCAAAATAGAATAGAATATAAATTTAAAAGTGCGCAAAGGACACAAGCTGCTAATGCGCTTAGATATAGAGGAGGGAACGGCGGCCCTAAAAAAGCACTCAACTGTTGACGTCATGGTTAGGTAGCCGCAATAGCGGGTCGATATGTGTAAACCAGACCATTGTCGCATTGGAGTGGCCACCATAAATCAGGTTCTTCCATGGTTGGGGACTGGAGGACCTCAATTCCTCACTCCGCCAGTTGACACGGTGGCTGCAACGTCACCGAATCTAAATTATCACCAAACAGCCTGGGGTAATTCCTAGACAGAATAGCGCTGAAGTGCTCAATTGTTCAGTGAGCCAATAACCTAGCAATGGAAGATCATTGGTGGATATTCTGTCGAAAACTTGGTTTAACTAAGGTGAATAGAACTTACATCATCATATCAAGAAGTCCGAAATGAGGGAGATATCAACATGAAGTCAAGGGTTGCCCGATTGTCCCGATTTCAGCTCACGCAGTTGTATCAAGAGACCGAAACGTGATAATGTGGCTGGCTCTTCATTTTTCTGGTTAGATGGCACAGTGAGGGGATTTGCAAGAGCAGGGAAGCTCCCGTCAATTGAAGCATCTAGGGATGCCCTTATTCCTGCATCAGGGCCTGGATACATGAAGCTCTGCCATCATACATTCGGGCGACTAGACGCTTGAACAAGTGCCCCATGAGCATTTAAAGTGTGGACAGCAGCCTAATTAAGTTGACGTCAGACCTTCCCAATGCGGTAGTTAGTAATGAATAGTTATACGCGTTCATTTCCACGTGACAGCGCAGGCGCGACCGCGCGTTAATTTTGTTGCCGCCATCATATTATATTACTGGAGGTCTTTACTAGGAGCAGCCGCGTGCTCTTGCGTATGAACCCACCAGCTGTGAACAACGATCTTTAGGCACCTTTCCGTCATTTTTGGATGCGCCCAGCCCTCCAAAGTGAGGGCATAGCAAAACAAACGCTTATGACCTTCACCTCAGTCCAGAAAGCTTTCTCATCATGCCTCCGTCAGCACAGCCAGCTAGAAAACGCAATGTCAAAAGACAAACCCGCTTAACTTTCACTCCTTTGGCAACTTCCTCTCCCGGGGGTGGTGAGCGAAGTCCTGGGAGTGACAGAGTCGCAACCATGCGATATAAAAACGGCTTCAGTTCTCCTAGTTCGAGCAGTCCGATTAAGCGAAAGAAAGAGCCGATTTCGAAACTTTTCCTATCAAGCGAACGAGAGGACATATCATCAGATGAAGAATCCATTCGCGCGCCTTCTTCGAGCCGTAGGCAACTGAAGCGATTGGTTGTCGAAGATCTTGATGAAGATGAAGATGATGGGGAAGAGTCTGAAGATATTATCTACTTATCTCCTGCAAAACGAAGGAGGCTAAATTTGCAATCTAAAGCTTCAAAAGATGAGACTCCGCGTAACCGTGCTGAGCGAGATAAACTAGATCTAGAAGAGGATCTAGAAGACCTTCGCGATTCGGGTATGACATTGGTATTTCTTTTACATTATTTGAAAGATTAACATTGCTAAAATTGAACCACAGCCACGACGAAGACAAGAACTCGAGGGAGAATAGCGGATAAAGCTAGGCTAAAGCGGCAAACCCAGCTGGAGGCCCTAAAACGTCGAAGAGGGGGAAATCGCGAAGTCGGATCTATGAAGTCATCGGGAGAAGAATCCAACGCAGAACAAAATGAAAATTCATCGTCATCGGAAGATGAGGGGGATGAGGAGGAAGAGGAGGATGCATGGATTAATCTAGATGAGGACAGTGACATCGAACCACATCTACCAGAGGACCTTGACAAATATGAAGATGATTTCGTCGACCAAGACGAGGATGGAACATTAGGTGCTCCAGATGAACTCAATGACATCCCCTTCGAATTTACAAGACATCGATACAAGCGTTTAAGAGACCATTTCAAGGACGTCGTTGAGTGGATGGTGCATAACAAACTAAACCCTGCCTTTCCCCGTGACGATGTTGTCTATCGCGTCGCGTTCAGCAAAGTAAATGACGAGGTAATGGGTCTAGCGGGGTCACAACTTATCTCTTCAGCCTGGAACAGAGACTTTAGAAAGGCTCTTGAAGCTAGACCACGCATCGATATCTCGCTATATCCCATTTCGATGGGCCACTCATGCGACGCTTGCAATAAGACGAATCACCCCGCTTCGTTTGATATCAAATTTGATGGAAAGCCCTACCTCTTTGAGACACTGGAACCTATATCTGATGATGATGATGACGATGATGACGAGAACGACAGTGATGAGCAAAACGACGATGAGAGCGGTGATCGCGAACGTGGGAATATTGATCGCGAAGGCAACAAGATCCCAGATGCAAACGCGCATTTTTACTTGGGAAGGTAGAGAATAGCGGAATAAATCATACTATATTTCCCCCCCCCCTTTACTCTTCTTAACTAATCCTCGCCCCCCCCCCCCCTTCCAGGCACTGCAAAACCAAAGCCCAGATGGCCCACGCGCTCATCCATTGGCGCTACGATCTCAACGAATGGGTCATAGACTACCTGCGACGCAAGGGTATATTTTCCGACACTAAGGTCCTAGAACGCGAGCACTGGAGCCAAAAACGACGCTCAAAGTATGCCAACCAGGTCGTGGATGATATGGAAGAAGGTGGGGAAATTAACCGTCTGTGGAGGGATTTCAATACAAATTTGAAGGCAGCGAGAGAGGCGAAGGTTCGTTTTTCTTCTTCATTTTAGAAATTACAGTTGATGTCACAAAAAAAAAAAAAAAGAAAAAAAAAAAGAAAAAAAAAAGAAAAAAAGAAACCAAAGGAAAGAAAAGAAAAGAAAAATTCTGACATATGGGCCACTACCTAATTTAGGAATCTCGATGGTGAATATCTGTTTCGTGCTTGATTTTCCACGTATTTTTTCATCAACGTACCTGTGGAGCCTCTACGCAAACCAAGTTAAAACATGAGCCAGTCAATCTAAAGTCAACAGAATCCAGCTTTAGAGGATTCGGTCTCCTTCTCTCAGATGAACCATTTTGTGCAATGTTGGAAGCACTTCATTTCATTCCACTCAATCAATCAACTAATCAACCAATCAACTAATCAACCAATCAACCCAGTCAAATACTCAGAGGCAAACCTATCTTAGTAAACATGCCTCTATGCATACCGCGTACAATCGAAATGTGTAATGGTTTAAAATGAGCATCAAAATGCCCTTACTTACTATATTGAATTGACTGTGTAAACGGCCCGGCGGACCTGTGAATTGCCTTTTTGAAACTAGTTTTGCTTGTTTAGGTTGGGTTGGCGCCTCAATTCCATTTCCATTTTTCCATTTTTCCATTCTCCTCTTTTCCTTTTTTTTCCTTTTTTTCCCTTTTTTTTCCTTTTTTTTCCATCTTTTTTTTTTTTTTTTTTTTTTTTTTTTTTTTTTTTTTTTTTTTTTTTTTTTGTTGGCGAGACAAGATGTGACACCTATGACGATTTATCAACTAGCCTCAAATCAATAGAGCATGCTATGCTCATATATAAACATTTATCTTCTTCTAACAGGGCAAAGAGAAAGAAAGGAGGGGAAAATTCATTCTGATACTTATTTATCATTGTAAAACTACATGGGTTTTGAAATTTGACACGGAAAAAACAAAAAGAATTCGAAGAAATAACATGGAAAATATGAGATGGACATGAAAAAGGGAAAGAAAAGAAAAGAACACAAGAGTAACACAGGGGAAGAAGTAGAAAGGAGATTTAAGCGATCCAAGGGTACAGGTAAAGAGAGGAGGGGGTGGGGAGGAATCGGGCAAACCGGTTTTAGATTGTTGCAAACTGTATGGGATTTTGATGTAGGATAAGGAAGAAGGGGTGGATGGGGATTTGGTCAATGGATCAAAGCGGAAGAAAGAGAGGAGAAAATTGTTTGTCGAGCTGGTGGAGGAGCACGCACAACCAGTAACTGGTTGTATGTAGGTTGTGAGCAAAAAACGCATATCAACCCTGACTTTGGTCCTGACAAACCGATTGTAACGGAAAAGAGCGAGTGGAAACAAAAACAGCTGAATCGATTTGAGCGATCTTAACGGGAACATGACGATGACGCCGCAGTCTTGTACCGCGTTTTTGCACTATGTTTCTCCTTGAGTAGCTGGCTCGTTGGATTGGTTGCCAGGCCACGGGTCGTTATTTCTCTTTCCCATGATATCCCGTCGTCGATATGGAAATCGTCGAGCGGGGCTAGCACGATAGGCCATCACGTACAGTTCGCAAGTGCTGTGGATATCTTATGTGGTTGGAATTGGCGGAAAAGAAGGAGATCCCGCAAGTTGACATCAACCTTTCCTCCGCCCTCCTCTCCCCTCTCAATCCAAGGGGTGAAAAAAGGATGTATGGTTTCCCTTGCCCCTTTTCTTTTTTCCCTCGCATTTTTGCATTTCCGTCGTCCTGGTGGTATATCAGTGCTAGGGAGAAAGCCGTTTCGCTCGTAGTACGTCAACGAAAATATTCCACCTAATTTTCAACTTAACAAACCCTTGCCGGCCTGTTTCTTTCAACCCGCTTCGACAACTTCCTCACTCCCCCACCCCTCTCTTTTCCTGGTCATTGCATTATAGTTTCTACAGAGATGGTTGGCCCTCCGTCTTCCCATCAGGGTTGGTAAGAGCGCTGGCGGCACCGGGCGTCAACATCTACAAAAACAAGAAACAGCCAGTCAGTATAAAAGTGCAACTCATACAAACCCGCCACCGGAAAAAGAAAGGCCTTTCCCCCTTTCTACGTCATCGAAGCTAAACAAAATAAAAAACCAAACCATACCTCATTAGCCCCCTTAATCATCCCCTGCTCCCTCTCCATCTGTACATACTGCTGTTCCTCGGCCAGGGCCAGGGCCCAGGGAACACCGAGCAGGAAGGCACTCGTGCTAAGAACCCAGAGCGTCTTCCCGCCGAAGGAGATGGTGGATTTGGCGAAGGAGGTGAGCGAGGAGATGGAGCTGGAGATTCTGTGTCGGGATTGTGGGGGGATGATGTCCTTTAGGGCCGCGATTCTTTCATACAATGATTCGTCCTCGGGCAGGGCGTCGTAGGATTCGGTGGAGAATTCGGAGTCTGGATTTTTTGTTTGGGAATAGGTGTATAGATTAGATACATTGCATATAAAAAAATATTTGGGAATGTTGTTTAGTTTGGGAAGGGAGAGAGATGATGGGATCGATGGACAACTTGATCAATATGATATATCAAAATCAAGACCACATCAGTCCACAGATGGGTAGGTATGTATAGTTTAGGGAAATTCCACACGATCACCAATGCACGATAGGGACATACCGGTATCTGTGAAGTCATCATCATCATCGTCGCTCTCGAGGAGGGCACCACTCTTGGGATGCTGGGTGGGCTTGTGAGTGAAGTGCTCGTCCTCGACTTCTTGTAGCTTAACCATTGTGGATGTTGTATATATGGATATATTATATATATTACAAAAGATAGATCAAATAAGAAAGAAGAAGCAGAAGAGCTAAAGGGAGCAGACAAATGTTAGATCAGAGATTAGGTAGGTAGGAGGTATGCAGGTTATCGTATGGTAGTTGAGATGTCTGGTTTGAAGCAATATTGGAAGCGTTTTTGTTTGTCTCGAGTCCGACTTTTTTTTTTTTAGTTCGGGCCAAAAATTGCTGAAAGCTGGACCTGGCAAAAGCAGCGTCATGGCTCGACTAAACCGGTTAGACTGGTTGGCTGCTCCATCCTCCCATTGATCTGAGGAGATAGCACATTTGTATAAGAAGGAGTTTTCCGCATAACATGCTTCATAAATACTATCTGCCTGTGAGAGACAGACAGCCCACTCTATCTTGCAAATCACTGTTGGCTTGTCTCAGAGAGAAGCACCTCTTTGCTAACACGCAGGCAGCATGGTTACCAGCTTTTTTTCCAGCTATATATATATTGATAGGCGTTGCAAGCCCTAACTACTCTAGTGGATGGTGGTGACAAGTTCTCCTTGAGCCGAAACCTTTCGTGCTAAGGAGACATTGTTGCGTTTCTTTCGGTTAGATGCGCAACTGGTATCTGACTCCCCCCACGACCGCTTCCACACAAGGCCATTTGAGTACGAGTATTTAATCCATCTTCTTGGGACGGATTCCTGTACCTGCGGATGATAAGTGTAACTATCAATTTTGTTGGGCTCCTTATTCCACCCTTCCTCAACAAGCAGGGAGTTCATATAGTTAGTTATACGGAAGTTTATATACAAATTAGTAGCGAGTTCCAGCTGCGTAACTGTTGGCAAACCCTTCCCAGCTGTCCCAGCCACGTCTATTTCTCCCCCGTAGAAATAATAAATCATTCGAGCCTACAAAAGAATCCACTTCCCACACCCCCCCCCCCCCCCAATGGCATGGATATCTGCGGTGACCCAGTATACAGAGCTAGTTACGAGAATGCCCTGGCTAAATAAGCAGGGATACGGCGATTCGGCGAATTTCCCTGCTTGCCACGGCAGCCGGGGATGGTGCCAGGTCGCCCAACAGCTCCGAGGCGGGACGAGAACGAGATTTCTCGGGTGAGAAAAGAAAGGAACCGGCGGTCTAGGAAGCGGTAAGTTAGGCGTAGGCGTCAGGGTATTTATTTAGCTTGGGGCTGGTTTTTGCGTGCTGGGTTTGCGCCGGGTTTGCGCCGCCCGTCTGAGCGTCTGATATCAACCGGAGGAGAGGAACAAGAACAAATATTATATAATGGCGGGATCTTTTCCATGAAATAGATCTCTATCCCTCTACTACCATCATTGCTTGCTCTGCCGAATCGGCTAAAAAAACATATATACGTATATACTGAAAAAAAGGCTGCAATCTCTATCTAGTTCTCAATTCACGCCCATTCAGCAAGCGTATAAAACTAAATATAAATCCAAATGCCGTCTACGGACAATACCTCGAGCAATGGCGATGCCACATTAGCCAAACAACTATGGCATCCCTCGTCCCCCGAAAATACTAGAATTCACAAGTTCATGACCCTCGTGAGCCAGAAATACGGCCTACAACTCACCAACTATCACGATCTCTGGCAGTGGAGTGTTTCTGAGCCAGCAACCTTCTGGGAGGAAGTGTGGCACTTTACCGGTGTCAAGGCGCAGAAAACATACGATAAGGTGTGTACCATAGCCATATTAACAATATCTTCATGTTATCCCTTCAATTGGCAGGATAACTAAATATTCCCCTCGTTCCCTCGTCGCATCCCCCCATTCCCCCCCTCCTCCCCCTGCCCCGCCAAGCAGCGCAATTCCGGATTTTACTTTTACAATGGATTACAATGGATTAACAGACCCCCGCCATCTCTTTAGGTTCTAGATAAGGACACCCCTCTATTCCCCAAACCAGTCTTCTTCCAAGGAAGTCTCCTCAATTTCGCCGAAAACCTCCTCTTCCCCGCAAGCAATCCAGACGAAAACTCCGTCGCCGTCATTGCCGCCACCGAATCCACCCGGGAACACATCTCATGGAAGGATCTTCGAGAGCGCGTCCGGCGCTGTGCCCTATCGCTGCGTGAAGCCGGCGTCGTCAAGGGGGACCGTGTCGCCGGTTTCGTGGGCAATCATGCAAACACCGTCGTGGCCATGCTGGCTGCTACCTCTATAGGTGCCCTGTGGAGTGCTGTTTCGACCGATACCGGTGTGCATGCCGTGCTGGAACGGCTGCAGCAGATTGAGCCCGTCATTCTCTTCGTGGACAATGCATCCCCTTACAACGGGAAAGTCCACCCAACACACGCCAAGGTCGTCGAGCTGACGGCAAGCCTTGCCTCGTTGCGCTACGTCGTGGTCTTCGATGCTGTGCAAGCCTATGAGTTCGATGTGGAATCAGTGAAATCGCCAAATGGCCGATCCATCACTTTTGCTGACTTTCTTAATACTTCGTCGTCGTTGAAAGATTCGTCTGCACCCTTGCGGTTCGAACCTCTCCCACCTGACCACCCGGTCTATATCCTTTATTCATCGGGTACAACTGGCGCCCCCAAGCCAATTGTCCATGGTGCTCTCGGCACGCTCATACAGCACAAGAAGGAACATGCGCTCCATGGCGACATCGGTCCCGGCGATCGGTTGTTCTACTTCACCACCACAACCTGGATGATGTGGCACTGGCTTGTCTCTGCTCTGGCCAGTGGCGCAAGTATAGTTGTTTATGACGGCTCCCCATTCCGGCCCCTGGACACAGAGGATGGGAAAGGCGATATGGCCATGCCCCGCCTCATCGACGAACTGCACATCACCCACTTCGGCACATCTGCAAAGTACCTCTCCATCCTCGAACAGTCCGTCCTAAATCCAACAAAACACCTCCACAGACCCGTCCAGCTGCGAACCCTGAAAGCCATCTTTAGCACCGGCTCCCCACTCGCCCCGTCAACTTTCGACTACGTATATTCCTCCATCCACCCAGACATCATGCTCGGCTCTATCACAGGCGGCACAGACATCATCTCGCTCTTTGGCGCATCCTGCCCCATCCTCCCCGTCTACCGCGGGGAAATCCAATGCCGCGGCCTGGGCATGGCCGTTTCTGTCTTCGACTACGCCGGCAAGGACATCAGCGCCACCGACGCCGCGGGCGACCTCGTGTGTACGGTACCTTTCCCAGCCCAGCCAGTTATGTTTTGGCCGCCAGGACCCGTAGGCGAAGAGAAGTATCGTAAGAGCTACTTCGACCTCTTCGGCCCGTCAACATGGCACCATGGCGACTTTGTGAAAGTCAACAGCAAGACGGGCGGGATGGAGATGCTGGGTCGTAGCGATGGGGTGCTCAAGCCGGCTGGAGTGAGGTTCGGCAGCGCGGAGATCTACAATATTATCCTAAAGCATTTTGCGAATGAGGTTGAGGATTCGCTGTGTATTGGCCGGAGACGGAATGGGATTGAGAATGATGAGACGGTTGTGTTGTTTGTGAAGCTGGCCAGGTCCATTTCTCCCGTCACCACCACCACCACCACCACCACTACTACTACTACTACTACCACGACTTCCGCTTCTACATCAGCATCAGTCTCCGCATCAGTCTCAGCATCTTCGTCAACGGTATCGATATCCAACAGCGATAGCGTACAGGACATCCTCGCCACCGACGACGACAACACCAACAACAACAAAACACAACTACTCATGCCCCCCGACCTCGCCAGCCGGATCCAGGCCACTATCCGCAAGGAACTCAGCGCGCGCCATGTGCCTGCGATTGTAGACGCGTGCCCGGAGATCCCCGTGACGACCAACGGCAAGAAAGTCGAGAATGCGGTGAAACAGATTCTGTGTGGATTGAATATCAAGACTGGGGCGAGCGTGGCTAATGCGGAGTGTTTGGAGTGGTATCGGAGGTGGGCGGTGGAGAATTGAGGGAGTTTTATGTGTGTGTGTGTGTGTGTGTGTGTGTGTGTGTAGATTTTTTACTTTTTTACTGCTCTAATTATGTCTTGACGTTGAGATGCGGTTTTTGGACGGGGTTGGGCGTTCTCCTTGCACCAACCTATAGATAGAAATACAACTTGCTTAGTTACTATAATAGTATAGTTAACGTTCTCCTTCTGGAATATTACACTATTGCCGCAATCGATTACTGATTGTTGAGGATGATAAGTCTTTTGAATCCTATGATTTTATATTCAATGATTTTATATTCAATGATTACTCTTTGGATAAATCAAATCCCAATCTCATCTACTCGGTATCTCCCTACAGAGTCCCCTTTTTCCTATTCCATCCTACTAGCTGATGGAGGTTGAAGGTTGGCACTCTGAGTATACTATACTGGAAAAAGTGTAGGATCTGTTCCATAAATAACTAGTTAGTTAATGAAACTGCTGACTCATCATGATTCTGCCGAAAGCGGTGAGACCCTCTCTTCCCGTTCTCAGGAATCAACTTTTTTTCCTTTGCTGAACGAAATGTCCGCTTGCCAGCTTTGAGCACAACGACTCTGTATAGCGCCGGCTTCCAACAACGGAATAGAGACTATCATGCGTCGTTTAACAACTAGAGCCGTTACCCCGGCTAAGCGCCTCACACGCACCCCACGCTCACTTTCAAGGGCACTTTCATCTCAAATTGAAACCCAAGCTAAGGTTGGTTTGTTCTTTTCCCATTAAGTTGCCGTGGGTACCGGGATCGGGAAAACAAGAACAACAACTACAACAGGGCTGGGAACAAAAAATGGCTAATGAAAAACTCCATCATTATAGGACCCCTCTGAACTCGATCAAGTAACAGAACTCTCCAATGGCCTACGTGTAGCCACCGAGTCCTTACCGGGCCCCTTCGCCGGTGTAGGCGTATATGTCGATGCAGGCTCGCGCTACGAGAACGAGAGCCTTCGCGGCGTCAGCCACATCATCGACAGACTAGCCTTCAAATCGACCTCGCAGCGGACGGCTGACCAGATGGTCGAGGCGCTCGAGCGCCTGGGCGGGAACATCCAGTGCGCGTCCGCGCGCGAGTCGCTCATGTACCAGTCCGCCAGCTTCAACTCGGCCGTGCCGACGACGCTGGCGCTGCTGGCGGAGACGATCCGCGACCCCCTGATTACGGAGGAGGAGGTGCAGCAGCAGCTGGAGGTGGCGGATTATGAGATCACGGAGCTCTGGGCGAAGCCGGAGATGATCCTGCCGGAGCTGGTGAATATTGCTGCTTATCGGAATAATACGTTGGGGAATCCGTTGTTGTGTCCGCGCGAGCGGCTAGGGGATATTAATCGCGGTGTGGTGCAGAGGTATCGAGAGACGTTTTATAAGCCGGAGCGGATGGTGGTGGCTTTTGCGGGGGTTGCGCATGAGGAGGCGGTGAGGTTGACGGAGAAGTACTTTGGGGATATGAAACGGGGTAAACGTGGGCTATTTGGGCCGGGATCGGCAACGACGCTGGCCGAAGAGGAATTGCGTTCGTTACCATCCTTCTCGCCGTCTTCGACGACTTCAACGATCTCCGCAAACTTGTCATCCATCCCGTCACCTCCCCCTCCATCAACTCCTACATCCAGCTCCAAGGCCACCAATGGCGGCCTCCTCTCCCACATCCCTTTCCTCAAACACCTCTCAACCTCCTCCTCCCACAGCGCCTCCGTCACCCCCCTCGACACCTCCCTTCTCCACCCATCCACCCTCGACCTCCATCGCCCTTCCCACTACACAGGCGGCTACCTCGACCTTCCCCCGATCCCCCCACCCGCAAACCCCACACATCCACGCCTCAGCCACATCCACATCGCCTTCGAAGCTCTCCCCATCTCTTCTCCAGACATCTACGCCCTCGCCACCCTGCAAACCCTACTAGGCGGCGGCGGCTCGTTCTCCGCCGGCGGGCCGGGCAAGGGCATGTACTCCCGCCTCTACACCAACGTCCTCAACCAGCACGGCTGGGTCGAGAGCTGCATGGCCTTCAACCTCAGCTACACCGACAGCGGCCTCTTCGGCATCTCCGCCTCCTGCGTCCCGTCCCGCGTCACAGCGATGGTCGAGGTGATCTGCAAGGAACTGCACGCGCTGACGACAGACTCGCGCTTCTTCGCCCTACAGCCCGCCGAGGTCAACCGGGCCAAGAACCAGCTGCGCTCCGCGCTCCTAATGAATTTGGAGTCGCGCATGGTGGAGCTGGAGGACCTGGGCAGGCAGGTGCAGGTCCACGGGCGCAAGGTTGGGGTGCGGGAGATGTGTGCGCGCATCGATGCGTTGACGGCGGAGGATCTGAGGAGGGTGGCGAGGGAGGTGCTTGGCGGCCATGTGTATAATAAGGGGAATGGGACGGGGAAGCCGACTGTTGTTGTGCAGGAGGGGATGATGGAGGGGGTCCAGTTGCAGCCGATTCAGTGGGAGCAGATCCAGGAGCAGATTGCCATGTGGAAGTTGGGGAGGAGGGATTAATGTCGTCTTTTCCTTTTTTTATGTTTTCATATCAACGGGGTGTTTACCGATTTACTTTGTTCATCCATCTGATGCTTTGAATATATTTTTTTTTTGTATTAGCTACGGATGGACTTGTATTACTGATCTCAATTGACTTGGGCTACATAAACCATCTTAGGTACCTACCTCTCTCTGCTTTTTTATCATTGTCGGCTTCTGCGCAGATAGACGGTGTTGCATTCATTTTGCTTTTGTCCTATTTATATTTATACTTATATACATATACATATATCGTTATTCTCATCTTTGCTTATCTGTCTATATTTATAATTAAGACCATTGGTGTGACTTTCCCTTCTCCCTTTCTTTTTTCTTTTTTTCTTTAATATGCTGATGTTCCTCTTCTTTCGGTTACTGGTATGCTGATATGCATACTAGATACACCGGCCTGCCCCTCCTCCTCCCCTCTATTGCCCATATCTAGAAATTGGTTTAAAAAGCAAAGTAGCGAAAATCAATTTGATTTAACTATAGGTTGGTTCAAGTAACGTAATGTTACCAAAGATGTGGAGCACAAAACCAGTCGCAGAGATCGAGATTACTCCTTTACAGGATTATCTAGATGTACGTACATAGTTGGTCGGGTTATTAAGAACGTCTTCCTGTGGACAGGGGACTGACTTATATGTAAATTTATAGTGATAAAAAAAAGGGGGGGAGAAGTGACTTCAGTCCATCACAGCATGCAGCATCGTCTGCTAAACAAAGATAGGTTATTATTATTATTATTATTATTTTTTTTTTAAAAAAAAAAAAAAAAAAAAAAAATTAAAAAAAAGAGTAAAAACGTTCATCTCGTTCTCCGCTTTCGTGGGTTAACCACCACCCCCCCCACCCCCCAACTCCCTCCTCCCCCCTTTCTTTTTCTTTCCACCCCTGTTTCCAATCCCTATGCCGGACGGCCCGAAGAGGCAACCGGAATTTTTCACTCCTCATCCGGAACACCAGCCACGACATTCAAAAAAATCGCCAAATCCGCCAATTCATCTCGCATAATCCAATGGGATAAATCATCATACAGCATAAACGTGACGTTCCAGCCCAACGCTTCCAGCGTCTTCGCAGCGTCTTCGCCAAACTGGGGCAACACATGCTCGTCCAGCGCCCCATGCGCGATCCAGATGGGGGTCTTGGGGGGTGAAGCTGATGACTGTGACTGCGGTTGTGGGTCCGTTGCGACGGGCGGCGGCGGGATGCCCAATATATTCTCTCGGAACCAGGTTTTGGCTTTGACAGCTAGGCTCGGGTCGGGCTCCGGGGCCCTGTCCTTGTCCTCTTCCTCCTCCTCGCCTACCACAGCTGTGCCTGTATCCTTCTCTCCCTCACTCCCAACCAACCTTATCAGGTCCCTCTGGAACGGCAACCAGGGACTCATAGCCACACAACCCCCCAACGCCTCCCCACCCCCATCAGCCTCCGCATCAAAAGCCACCGCAGCCCCCAACGCAACCACACCCCCCTGACTAAACCCTCCCACAATAACCCTCCCAACCCCGCCCAATATTCTCCCTTCCTCCTTCACCAGCTCCATCAAATACCCCACCGACGCCCTGAGCCCGTCCCGCGACAGCTCCCATTCCCGCTCATACACGGGCCGCAGCGTCACGACATCAAACCACTGCGGCATCATCACCTTGCCGCTCGCTGTGGAGCGGCCGATCCTGGCGTCTGGGAAGACGAATTTGACACCTGGGAAGCGCTGGGACAGGGATGAGCGATCCGGGTTCGTGGAGGTGGGGGGCTCCATGGGGGAGGTCATGAGAGCCGAGCTGAAGTCGAGGGAGTTACCACCGCGACCGTGGAGGAGGATTAGGGTGTGGGTGTGCGGGCCGCGGGGAGGGATTATGGTGGGTTTTGGGAAAGGGGGTGTTGTGATGGTGGTGGTGGAAGTTGGGGGTGGTGTAGAGAGCGGGGTGGAGGCGGAGGTGGAGATGGAAGGCGGGAGTGGAGGGGAGAGAGGGTCTGATTTGGTCATGGCTGTGTTTTGTTTTCGGATTTCTTTTCTTTTCTTTTCTTTTTTTCTTTTCTCCTTCTGTTTTTTCTTCTATTCGATTTCTTTTGTCCTCTCTATCTCACTTCTCCTTGTTGTTTGGTATCCTGTTGATGGATGTATACGTACAGCACATGTACGTTTACATGCCAAGGGTAGGGGAGGGGTAAAGGTGTAGGATATCGACGATCTCTTGTGTTTTGCTCTCTTTCTTCCTTCGCATACTCTGTAGATTGCTTGGACGTCGTATCCACGCTTCTCTGAGCAAGCCTATCTTCTCCTTTCTCAAGGAACTCTTATTCGAATAAATAGAGATCAAGGTGCACGCTCACCCGTTGAGCACCTCTCACCAACACCAACGAGGCGATCCGCAGCGTTTTGGCGTGGGGATTCAGTAGAGATCCTGTCAAAGTTTCTTTGCGTGGTAATCGATATATATCCAGCCACTTCTGTATATTTCTCCTGGTGTAGAAGTAAGAAGGGCTTGTTAACTGCTTCGTGTTAGCCCAAGAGAGGTTACCAGATGGGCGATATACCCCGCTTCCTAGCTAGGTAGGATTTCTCCGAGGTATGAAGAGGATTGGATGGATACAGAAACACACGATCTTCCCCTTGGGACTATCAGCTGTTAGCTGTTCGTTGGAGTGAGAGATGCAGGATTGCGACAACGAGTGAAGGTAGACATGTTGATATCAAGGCTCCAATTTTCGAGGAGGATTGGATATCACATGACCTGTGTGTGTGTGTGTGTGTGTGTGTGTTGTGCTTACGGGGAAATTATCCAGCATAAAAATATAGAGTATAGATAGACATGCATAATAATGCGGGCGGGAAATAAGTCATGTTATTCAGCCTCTGGTCCGACAGCTGCACAGCAAGAAGATATGGCCTCTTCTTCGTGATCTGGGAGGAGGATAAGCTGTGTACGGATAATAAATAGTACTCGGTCGAGCCCACTTCTGGCGGGATTCTATCATTGTCTTCCCTGACTCCTCCCTGAACTTCCTTGCCGATCAACAGCGGGCAGCCCCTGAACAACCAGGCAAGCGGAACAAATCATACGGATGTAAGGGAAACAGAAAGCAAGCCGGCTCAAAAAATAAAAACTTTAAAAAAGAAAAACAAGAAAAGGCCCAATCGAATCGACACTCTACCACGCCATTCGACCCCGTTACTCACCACCTAGTAATATTAAATAAAATAGGCTCCCAATTGGCCTTTTTGACGATGTTTTTTTTCTTCTACAGCGTATGATATGGCCTTATGGCTACAAGCAAGTACCGGTACCTGTGATCTTATGTCGGTACTGTATTAGTGGTAAACGGGTAATTTTCGGTTTCGTTCCAAATCCAAAAATATTCGGCTTCCTCAAGCACTAGCGTAACTTTTAGTAATGGTTATGGGCCTGTACCTAGTACTGTGATACGTATTGTGACGTACCAATACATCCTGACCTTCTGTCAAGCCTTAGGCGTTCGTCGTTTAAACCTCGCTTGGACTTCATATTTTCCTCTCTCGTGTCTGCTTCTTCTTCATCTCTCCTCCGCCAGACACCACAATTCCCAGCCAACAATCTCTCTCTTGCAGGAATCCCCGTGTGTCGTGTGAGTGTGTCAACGAGATGCCTTTGCAGCATCTCGCCCGGGATTGCTAAGCCAGACCACCCTCCTCTCCCTCTAGCTCGTTTCCCCCGGCTCCTCTCGGATCTTGGTATGTTGCTGGCTGTATCTTCCTCCTCAACCCCCTTATTCGTGCCCTATCCCAGCTACACCGCTTTGCTCTACTACTTTTTTTTATTTTTATTTTTTTTATTTTTTATCTCTTTTGCTCCGATCTATCTCTGTGTTGATCTGTTTCACTCTTTGGACGTCTCTGTCCATCAATTGCCTTTACGCTCTAGATAACTAACTTGGTGAGGCGTTGGCGCTGGCTCTGTGCGTGGGGTTTGGCAGATAGGCGAATTTTGTTCCTGCCTCGTTCTTCTGTGCTACTTCCAACTTCCTCTATAGCACAGCTTCAGTCCAGTTGCGAAAACAGCGTGCGCAGTGTAGCCCTATGTCCGCTGCCCTACCCGCGTCGCTCGCCCACTCTCCCGTAACCTAAATCCTAAAATTCAACACCGGGTCTCCATTCGTCAATCCACGGCCCGTCCAGTCTTTCGATCCTGAGATGCCTCGTCGACCTAACAATCCTTTCACCAACAACTCCCCTTCTTCGCCGCCGTCCTTTTCGTCCGCGAACGAAAAGGGCGGCATTCCTACTAACCAGGCACGGTCTTCCTCTGCGAAACCTAACCGATTGAGCCAGCTCTTTTCTACTTCGCCCAAGGGTAGAATAGAAGCCCAGACGGCTGCTCAAGCCGCGCTCATTGCTGCAAGCGGAGGCTCCCTCAACAATCCGAACACTCCTCAGATCAGTTCGCCGTCGCTGTCCCTACCCACTATCTCTCTTTCCACCGCAACTGCGGACAGTACCAACATGAACGTGCCTCCAACCACTCTCTTTCAACCCCCATCGGCGGGGGAATCCCGTCGCCTAGCTAGGCAACACGCTCAATTTGGCCCTATCGGACACCCTAGTCACCGATATACCTCGAAGCACCAAGGGGGTGAATTCCCTGAACCTATTATGGATGAGCCGCCGTACTACTATCTTTTTACCACCTACATCAGTTACCTAATCCTAATAGCTTTTGGCCACGTGCGCGATTTTTTTGGGAAACGATTCAGAGAAGAAAACTATAGACATCTCAAACCTAGGAACGGATACGGCGCGTTAAACAGTGATTTTGACAACTTCTACATCCGCCGCCTCAAGCTGCGTATTAATGATTGTTTCGAGCGGCCGGTAACTGGGGTCCCTGGAAGATATATCACGTTAATCGATCGGACCAGCGATGACCACAATCGCCACTTTCGCCTTACTGGCACTTACACCGACACTTTGAATATGAGCTCATATAACTACCTTGGTTTTGCACAATCAGAGGGCCCCTGCGCCGACGCAGTTGAGGAAACTATTAAACGATACGGTATCAGCTCCGTTGGCACCAGGGCGGATGCCGGCACCCAGGACATCCATGTCGAAGCGGAAGACCTTGTTGCCAATTTTGTGGGGAAGGAGGCTTCCATGGTGTTTTCCATGGGCTTCGGGACGAATGCTAGTGTTTTTTCAGCTCTAGTTTCAAAGGGATGCCTGATCATTTCCGATGAATTGAATCACGCGTCAATCCGTTTTGGTGCGCGTTTATCGGGTGCGTCCATCGAAATCTTCAAACATAACGATGTGAAGGCGCTGGAGAAGAAATTACGAGAGGTCATTTCCCAAGGTCAGCCGCGTACGCATCGCCCGTGGAAGAAGATCCTCGTTGTTGTTGAAGGGCTTTATTCCATGGAGGGGACCATGTGCAACCTTCCCGGCATACTTGCGTTAAAGAAGAAATACAAGTTCAACCTTTTTATCGATGAAGCGCACTCAATTGGTGCAATCGGACCTAGAGGAAGGGGTGTTTGCGATTACTTTGGCGTCGATACGAAAGATGTGGATATCCTCATGGGCACGCTGACCAAGTCCTTTGGCGCCAATGGTGGTTATATCGCCGCGGATAAAGTCATTATTGACAAGCTACGAGCATCGAATCCGGCAGTGTTCTACGGCGAAGCGCCCACCCCGCCAGTTATTGCCCAAATTATAACTTCTCTTAGGATAATCAGCGGTGAGATCGTCCCCGGCGAGGGCGAAGAGAGGTTACAGAGACTTGCGTTCAATTCCCGATATCTTCGCCTTGGTCTTAAGCGCCTTGGTTTCATCGTCTACGGCCACGATGACTCCCCTATTATCCCTCTCCTACTCTTCAACCCAGCCAAAATGCCCGCCTTCTCCCATGAAATGCTCAAACGCAAAATCTCCGTCGTCATCGTTGGGTACCCCGCCACACCGCTGGTATCCTCACGAGCTCGCTTCTGCGTTTCCGCTTCGCATACCAAAGAGGATCTTGACCGCTTACTACTGGCTTGCGACGAAGTTGGGAATGTTCTACAGCTTAAATTCTCAAGCGGGGTTGCTGGCGGAGCACTGCCATCGGAAATTGACTATACAGTCGAAGATGAGCAGAATGACAAGCAGGGACGGCAGAAGCCGGCTGGGAAAAAGAAGGTCGCTCCTATTACCCCTCCCCGATGGAGATATGAAGATGTGGTCAGGCGGGGCGTGCAGGATGTGAAACTTCCACTGCGATAACAGGCCGTCTATCTATTATTACAAACATTTGGATAAGCAGCTCGGTTTGGATATGTGGGTTGGTTGGTTTATGCCGATCAATTGTGAATTTCGTCGGTTTTTACTTTTGCCGGGTTCTCTCTTCGGAAGGGCATTCTATGTCTCAAAAGCGCCTTTTACTCATCGGCTACCGCGTATGAGTCGAGTTTGTGTATTCTTTATATTATCCGTTGACTCTTGGGTATATTGATTGATTGGGTGTTGGAGGTTTGTTTTATCTGGGGCGGGGAGGGGGATTGTTGACGGTGTTCTATTTCTTCCCCTCTGATGTTTCTTTCCTTTCTACCTTTCGGCCTTAATAATACATAATTCTAGATTGAGAGAGAGAAGGCGGAGAAGGGGAAACAACTGACTGGGCGTTTGCTACTGTGTGTTCCCAGGTTGTTGTTTTTTGCCTCTCCTACCCTTTTTTTTCCTCTTATTGGACTCCCCCTGTTGAATATGAGATGTTTCTTTTTAACGCATACCATGGTTTGCTTATGTTGCTGTCTTGGCAGAGCTGGGTGAAGGGATAACCTTGCGTCTTCTATCTCTTTTTTTCAATCGGGTGTAATTTCTCCCTTTCACCCGCCGGTCAACCAAACTGGTAGTTCTGGGTTCGCACTCTGCACTCCCCAGCCGGGGAGGAAGGCAGGGATAATTCAAAACACTCTATAAACGAAAAGGACGATAGAAAGCAAGAAACCGGATGGGACCTCGTGCGGCAAGCTAACCCAAAAAAAAAAGAGAAAAGTCTACGCTGAGGGTACACAGAACCTACCCGTCAAGCAAACAAAACGTATCAACGGAAGTAGTTGGTTCACCAGTGAGCTACACAGAGAGAGAAAGAGAGAGAGAGAAAGTGTCCATCCGGAATGCCGTTTCGTGGAACGAGATACTTTGTCTCATCAAGGTACAAACTACACCGCATCTGTCTATCAAGCATCTGGGAGAACCATCCCACCGCCCACTCCATGATATCTGACACGCTTCCAGCTCGTTTCAAATATCAATCCCGTTACGAATGCTAGGCTTTTCGTAGCCCTCCCTTTCCCCCTTTGGGTTAATGATTGATTGAATTGAATTGAACTGATTGGTTTGCTTTATCATACCAAGAAATGCAAGTACAAATACAAATACACCCCTTCTGTTGGGTGAATATATTTGCAAGGCCTATTTCGGTGATGTGACTCCTTGCCAATAATGAGTGCTGTGTTCCCAGCCCAACTGGCCGCGGTCTCATGTACACATACACATATATGGCCCCGTCTACTCAAAACCCATCATCATTGATCGTTCACTACTCAGATGATGGGGTTTTCACCGGGTTTTAGTTTTGCGACTGTTTTCACGTTCTACGGAATTCTTGTGACACGTTTTGCTGTTATTTTTGGTATTTTTTTCTTCTGCGGCTGTTTGCTTCCCTGGAAACTGTCATAATACCTCTCTCTCTAATGTGTTCGCACCCATCAAAGACGCACCTCTTTTTTCCTCAACCACCCCCAAAGCAAGTTCAATCAATTCAATCAAACACTAATGTGATTGTATAGTAGGTATAGGAGACTTGCTGACGCCTGGCAGGTGCTGGACAGGTAATGGCCGCTAGCTGCTGGGTTTGATGGTCTGTTTGGTATGTATATTTGCCGTGTTGGATAGACAAGTGGGAAACGACATACATAGCTGATCAATATGCGTATGTTCAGATCACTTCTATTTTATAGCTATAATATTTGAATTGGGTGTATGTATGGCTTTCTCCGACATTTTGCTCTCCTGTTCTCTCAGGATCTTGTTTGTTGACTGTCTGAGTATTTGATATTCGCAACTATTTACACAGCCGGCATCTCTACTCGCCCTTCAATCTAATTTCGTCTATTTGCTTACCTACTTTCTTACTTGCCTGTTACACATGCTTTCTCTTGCTCAGTCTCTCCTTTGCATCTCGCGTAATGGAAAGCAGAAACAATCAGGAAACGCGGCGGGAAGGCCACGGAATCCATAAGCTATCCATGGATGCAATGATCATCTCCAGATTATTCTAACACTACTTTGCCCTACGGGCACGTTTGCTACTCCTACTCGTAGCAAAGTCCCGCTGTCGTTTGCGCTGTTTCTTTCGCATGGACCTACCTACCACCATCTGCGTTCCAGCTTCCCACCGAATGCCCTATAAAAGGAGACACGACGTCTCCTCAAATCCCCTCCATTTCTTTACATTCTCCATTCTTCCATCACGCCCTTCTCATTGCTTGTATCCCTCAGACTCATATAAGGGGCCCGAAACACAGCCCCAGAAGACATTATATATTATATATGGGCAAATCCTACCTTTCCACATCCAATATGGTGGAGCATGGGCTTTCTACTTGAAGGCAGTCATTTCTACCTCCGCGTGGACTCCCGCGATGAAGCTCCCAGCCAGCTCAGCCGTTCGCTCTGGAGATGTCCGTCATACACGCTTCCTTTTTCCTCATGCATCCTTCAACAATATAATGGCTCTCCGTCCAGATCTACAGGCGGGTATGCAGCAATTTTGTCTACGGCAGTAATGACGACGGTGATCACCCAGAGGACCGAAGGATAATGCGGATACCGATTGCAGCATGACAACACGGTATCTTACTTCGCTCTCTCCCCTTCGTGTTGCAGGCTGTCTAGTCTTCGTGGGATGCACGTTCTACCTCGTTTTGCTCTCCTGCTGTGTTTGGGCCGGTTGGCGTCGGGCACAGACAAAAAGCGCACGCCCAGCCCATATATACGTTTTCGCCGTTTCTTGGTTTCTTAGATGTCATTTCTTGCAACACTGGGCAGAAGTACGGAAAGAGATTTGTTGATCTGGTTTCAAAATTGCTCTGAGGTTGCTGTTCGTGTTCACTTTGTTTTGGTTCCCACATTCCCCATTTTTGCATGTTTTGCCGTTGCTTATATACCCTCCCCTATGATCGATTTTTCGGGGCCGAGTACTTATGCCGTAACTGCTAGCCCCTTTCCCGCACCAGCCCTTGTTAAGTTATATACATTACTCTCGTTCTCATGTGGGCCTTTCCCTCACAAGCCCCCGTTTTTTCCTTTCTTTTATTCCCCCCCTCCTAGGATAAGACAACTTGCAGCCCTTCCATTCCCACTGAAATTAACTGCATGGAGTCCAAAGTCGCCCAACTACTGGTCGGTTCACCCACCAGGTATAATTTACACTACTCCAACACTGTGCAAGGATGCGATATACACAACTGATGTATTTGCCTGCTACGTTACCCGTGATTGGTAGTTTGGGATGGCGAGTCAACGCCCGGATAACCCCCTCGATATATAAAGTAGCAACGCGATAGGGCAAGCCGGTACGTAACGCGGAGAAAGATTGCTAATTCTTCCTGAAAACGTATTGATTCTCTCCTCGTTCTTCGAATGGCTCGAGCCCTGGATTTTTTTGGCACCGGAACCGCCTTGGTGGGCGAAATTTATTTCAGATTTTCGATCAATCCGGCTTGTCAAACTTTCCCAATGAGGTGGATTGAAAATGGGCATTATTGGATTCAACCAACCAGTCTATCTAGGGAACGTTCTCGAAATATAGCGATTTACATTTTATTCGAATTGTAAACATGTACCACTCCTGCAAGTGGGGAAAAAGAGGATGCTTAGCATATACCGTTAATGCCGAAGGGGAGAATCCACTGGCAGATATACAGGGGAAGAAGGAAGGCAGTGATGCTCGGGCCGCGAGGATGTGCAGAGCAATGATCTGCGTGCCCGGAATTTCCCTTGCTATATATAAACTCGTGCTAGGGGGAGGCATCATTGACACAAATGAGACAAATAAGTGTCGGGTTCGGGGTAATTGGCGAAGCGAAAGAAGCAGGAAACTCCCGCAACGCAAGCATAGTCACAACAGACGAAGGGGGGCAAACTGACAGGACAAACCCGATGTGTACTATCGGGAACTATCCGTCGCTGCCGCCTTCAAAACTATACATATATATAATATGTCATTTTCCTAACAGCCATCCTCCTTCTCCAACTCGTCGTTTACTCTCAGAAACATAGCTATACATCTGACAATATCCACCAAAATTCGGCGAAACCAGACCTATACTATAACGAATCCCACTCCCAAAAGTTATATATATATACGATTATATACGATAGCATCGTCCCTCCATTATCTTGTTTGTGTTGTTCCTTTTTTGATATCCCAAGCTCAAGCTCAGGCTCAGAAGGCCGGTTCTAGTTGAGCTGCGATTTTCATAGTTTGGTCTCCTCCGGCCCCAACCCGTTGGAATCGAACAATTCACTGCCTTCGAGTGTGAAGCTGTTTCCTACTTACCAAACTGCGCACAATCGAGTCCGTATAAATACATGCAACGCCTACCACTTCATTCTATCAACAACTTAGAAAACCACAAACAACCTTCAACAAACATACAAAGAAGAAAAACGGAAATCCAAACACTAAACCACTGACTGATACTCAAATCAAGAGAACATAATCGAAACCAATATCTCTCATATCCCGTTGAAAAAACTGATTGCCTCAAAATACCATCCTCATTTATACAAACAAAAACACACCAAAAAAGAAACACCAAAATGTGCCACCAAAAAATGCGTCATCACAGCTGCGGCCACGTCGGCCCCGGCAACTTCACCCGATGCCACCGATACGGTTCAAAACAATTCCCTTGCAAAGTTCACACCATCCATATCCAGTGGCCCTCCCCGTGTCCAAACTGTCGCAGGGCATCATAAAAAAGCTGGCAGGTGTTCCTACATACTTGTAGCTCTGCAGTGGCTATGAGGCCTGCGTGGTCTACATTTTGCGGAAGGTTTTTTTGGAGGCTACGCGCTACTTCTTTGCTTGCTTTTCTTTTTGCTCTTTTCCTTTTTTTTTTTTTTTTTTTTTTTTTTTTTTTTTTTTTTTTTTTTATTAATCCTTTACTTCTCTGTTTCTTTCACCTTCACCTTTCCTTTCCCAGGTGACTATTCGTGTCAGCCAGTTCGCTTGTCTTTTTTTGCTTTGTTGTGTTTACCAGCATCTGCATGTGTGTCTGAGTGAACTTTATGACTATGATTTCTACTATGATTGGAATTCTTTTCTTTTAACTTGTGCAATGTGAACCTAAGTTCATTTCCCTCCTTTTTCTTGTCGTACGCTCTAAGTTTCCTTGATGAGGCAACTGACCTTCTGGCCCCCTCTATTTCGACCTCACAAAGTTAATAATGAAAATAATAAGACCATATGTCAAACTTGCGACTAGTCACCTTTCCTGAATATATCTACAAATCGTAAAATGAAGTAGTAATGTAAAACCAAAGTGTTATCTATGAATTTGCAGCCTATTTATAAATAGCCCCACTAGAGCCTCTGAAAGATCTCATCTGACACATGAACGGGGCTAGTTAAAAGTTCAAGTGTAGTTGAAAGGAGAAACATCTAAGATCCCAGGTTGCTGGATGATATGAGTTTAAGGAGTATATGTGTATATCTAGGCACACATGTGTGTATGTATGTATTTATTGCAAGAAATTATCTTGGGGGTATTCAAAGTAAGATTGATACGCGGGCATGCAAAGTCTAGAAAAAAGACAAGAAAAAAAAAAGGAAGTAAATCTTGGAAATAAACCACAAAGTAAGTAGCTAGCTGCCTGCTTGAAACGCCATCCTATAGTCATCTTCTAGTGTAATGATGATGCAACAGGACGAGGAAAAAGGTATACCCGAAGTAGAAACGCAGACGCAGAGAAAATAGCGGCAATGCTCAAGGCCAAGGTCAGAAGTATCAAGTAAAGCAAATAATGTCCAAGAACGCCTGGCGGGTGTGGTTCTTGGTCATCTTGTTAGTTATAAAGTACCCAGTAAACCGCAATAAAGTATGAAATTCAGAATCAGAACGCGCCAAGGGGGGAAAGGAATCGGGCTTCTAAAAAAACGGAACAGAGCGGGAAAACAGCAAAAGTAAAGAAATCAATGTCTCTAGACAGTAGCATGGAATATGTCAAACCGCACCATATCTATCCTGCTCATCTATCATAAGCGCCTCCGTTTCTGGAGATTGGTATTTCGGTTCGGGAGGAGCGGATGGAATCCAGCCTTTGATCCACACGCTAACCCTTCGCCATCTACCTGGTCCTGCAGGTTGTAGTTTGATGGCGACATCGACATCGGCATCTTCATTCTTCTTCTTGTAGATCATGAACTGAATGCCCATAGCCCCATCCATGCCCAAGACCCCGAACGCCCCCAGGAAAAATGGTATCGCACGGCCAATCCATTCTAGTCTGTTGTTGCCTTCTTCGCCAACCCATCCACCACCTCCGTAGGCGGGTAGATCTGACCATGCGTTTGGATTGGTGAGGAGTGAGGTTGAGTAGAAGAAGTTACCGCAGAAGGCTGCAAAGAAGAGAAGTGGTGAGAGGCCTGAGGTGCTTTTGCGGCCGTAGTTCTTGTAGAGTTGTGGGATACGGGATACTAAGTATAAAAGAGTCGACGACCAGGATGCAATTCTGCCGGCTATTTGTCTAGCATCTGCTTGGGACTGTGGGAATATGGGGCGGTTCAGCTCCGCGGGGTTAGTAGCTGCTGCATTGGCAAGAACGGCACATAGCATGGAGAGAAACAAGATAGTTCGAGGGGAACTGGAGGGTGTGGCGCTGCTGCTGCCTCCAACACGGTAGATGGTTCGGGAAGGTGAGCGTTGTTTCTCATTGGGGCGCGACAGAGAGCCGCCCAATGGAGAATCAACTTCCAAACCCTTGTTCGAGGCGGCAATTTTTGGTTCTGAAGGCTGCATCGAGCCAGGGGACAATCCCAGAATTGTATTCTCCCCAGTGGGTATAATACCATTGTACATATCTCCATCGTCATACCCCAGATCTCCAGTATACGTATAACCACGTCTTCGTATTTGCCATTCCTTGAGATATGTATAGAAGTAGTACTGGATTACCAACGCTACGTCAACTAAGACATAGTAGGCAGCAACAGTAATCTGCCACCCCGCCTGATATAATAATATGGCTCCTAGTAGGTTGGTTGAATCGCCCAGACACCATTCAATCAGGAACCATATCGAGAGGCCGGAAGTCGACTGGAGTTTATAGTTCTTGTATATCTGCGGCAGCTGCGCAAAGAGCCAGGAAACGATGCTCAGGGTTCCCAAGGTAGAGGAGATCAGGGCGAGCGGAGTCGGAATACATGTATGTAGATGAGAAGAGATAAAGGTTAAGAAGGGAGAGGAGGGTTCGCAATGGTCTGGAAGAGAGGCAACGAAAGGGTTATAAATCCATGCTGAAGTCATTATCCGGCGCGCAGTTCGGTCTTCTATTGTAGCCCTGACTGTAATAACGAAGCATCCCTTGGCCAAAAACGCATGAACGGAGATAGAAGAATATATATAGAGAGAGAGTTGATATATATGCACAGAATGATTTCTTGAGAGCGCAGCGCGGAGTTGCTGACCGGAGATCCGCGTGGGGTTCGGTTGAGTGCTGACAAGGCTGGCAAAGAGTCACGCGAGGAGCGCGGGACACGCTGACAACACCCGAAACGTGTAAGGCAGAAGAAGATGAACTGGAGGAGAACGGGGGTTCGAGCAAGGTTGATGGAAGCTGTTTCACGGGCAACTGGGGGTTTTGTCTTGAGGGATTATACGGTCGTAGAGGGGAAAGTCGGAATAGGCCACTAAAATGTGTGTGACTGGTTCGGGATATCGGAATGTTACGTTGGGAGAAGGAGGAGAGCCAATTAGGGCATCTGCCTATGCAGGTGTGACAAATTACTGAAAAGGGAGAGGAGAAAACAAAGGAACGAAGAAAGAAATGAAAGATAGAGATAGTCTATGAAGAGGAGAGAGTGGACAGAGAGCACAACGCTGGATAAGGGAAAGTCAAAGGAAAAGGGCGAGAAAAGAAAACCAGACGACGGCGATGAGCAGGAGACAGATGAGAAGATGCAGGTGACGATGGAGAGGCTGATAAGCGGAGAGCGGGGCGCTGTGATTGGTGGAAACGGTGGATCTAGGTGGGGCTCAGCCAGCCAAATAAACCCAAACTCTAATTGGGGTATGGGGTAGTTACACTAGTCCGAGTCTGGAATGGTAAACAATCAACCTTATTCCTTCGATGGAAGATTGGAATAAGCCATGCTATGATAATAGTTATGTATATATAATATAATAGCATGATGTCAGAAACAAATTCCTAGATATATACAGAGTTCATGTTCATGCTCTTCTATGAATATATGTAAGCTAACATCCAGTCACATCTTTCATGTGAAGAACACTTCAAGAGAAGAGATTGAGTACACAAAAGACTTGAAACAATGAAGGACCAAGAATAATACAAATATATAAACACAAAATAATAAATAGAGTGGAACAAAAGTCAGCTAAATACAATTTTAGAAGAGATCTTTGACCAGCTATTTGGTCTTTTCATCACATCTAAAGAACACTGCTACTACTCTTTAGAAAGCACTTAGTGACAATATGTAAAATGAGCCAACTAGATCATATATTCATACTAGATAAAGAGATGAGGAGTGAGCTGTGGACCTGTACGCGCAGTTGATATAAAATAAGATTAGTCGTGTTTCACCTATTTATGTCTCTCGAGTTCATGCCCGTTTCTTCGTGTTTGACAGATATATATATATATATATAGCAATGACAGACGCGTATGTTACTACCATGCAAGGTGCATAGTGAACAGTACGGCTGCTCCGGCAACACCAATTGCCAGCTTTCGAGGTTGGCTCATCGAAGCCGCCTGGTTGGGTGCAATGATATCAAATGCATTCCCAAATCCTCCAAAGGGGTCATCATTCGGGTCGGTGGTTTTAGTAGTGGTAGCAGATGGTTCTGAGGTCGTAGTCGATGTGGGATCGGATGCCGTTGCTGAGGGTGGTAGGGATGGGATGACGTATGAATCACTTGTGGTAGAAGTAGAGTGAGAAGTCGTAGAAGTGGTAGATGGAGCTAGTCTTCGTGTTGTTGTTGTTGCTGATGGCTCTTCTGTTTGTGCCTGCGTAGGTGGAGGGCGACCGGTCTCTGTGACACGGGGAATATCGGGTGGATTGGCTGGAGCGGAACTCTCAATTTCCCTGCCTGCTCCTCCTCCCGCCCCTCCAGCATTTGGACAGAGTGTCTGCACTCCTAGCCCCTGGAAAAATAATCCGATGAGAGACGTCGGAGATGCCCGCGTGCCCACGCAAGCTGCATTGAGCGAACGTGCCAGAGCTTCCAGACCCTCAACGCAGCCCGGAGAGCAGGAGCCTTCGTTTGCGAAATCGCGGACTGTGCAGTCACTAATCTCGGAGGTGTAGACTCTCGTACATGATGGAGGGAATGATATTATCGGTTGGATTTGGTCCAGCGAAATTGCTATGACTGTTGGCGCTCTGTAGGCGAGGACGAGATATGTTACCCAGCGCTGTTTACGCATGGTGCAACGCTAGGTGAAGGAGATGACAAATGTATTTTTTGTTTGCACAGCGGAGATGCTGCCCGCCCTTCTTGTTTTGCACTTCGTTGAACTTTCCCAGGTATCGCAAAAGAAAATGTCGCAATGGGGGATAGGAGGCCTTCGAAGCGGTTAATCGCGCATCCTCATAATCTAAACTAAGTGCCTCTCTTTAGTGCCCATGTGCAAGCCGAAAGTCGATATGTCAAAGAAAAATGCGCGCGATTTTTAGACGATGATAGGAAACTTTATCGTGTCGTCTTTGATAAATGCAGGGCCACGAATCGTATTAGTGTCGCAAACGGTATGGGTATCAAGGGATAAATAAAGAACAATGTTTCTGAATCTTCAACGGGAAGTTCTAAGAAGAAAGGTAAAAGCAATGCGCTCTGTTGATACAACAATATCGCTTCATGGGATAGAAAACTAGCACAATTACGAAGCTCAGTATGTGTCCTTAACTCACGAGAAGAAGAGGGGAAATGAAAAATCAGAGACAGCAGAGGGGAATTATCGAAGTCCTTGTCGCAAAGCTAGATCCATGGTGGACGACGGGCCTTATGACGAGGCACCGCCGCTCACTCACAGCCATATCTAATAAACTGCCACTGACACGACCAAAAGGTCCTTTAGGACCGGTCTACAGTGTGGTCATATAGCGATCACATAGGTGGGCAGATCCAAAGAGAAAGCCGAATCTCAAACACTCCACGTTTCTAAATTCCACACGACAGGCTCGAGCCCTGGAAGGTCAGAGCCTATAGGACGACCGTTGCAATGATCAGCCTGTGACAGGATCTTTCGGGGTCAATTAACTAATGGACCAGTTATTCAGGATCCCGCCCCCAGCCTGGGCTTGCTTCGGGCGTGTCAACTTCGACAGGGATTATTTGACGATATGGACATCAGGGAGCTGTGAAAGTAGCCGAAGCCCAGAATCAAGAAACACTCTGTCTGTCGAATCCCGCCAAACAGCTGCCTCATCTTTGTTCGCAGATGGCAATTCTGAAACGTAGCGGGCCTGTAGTACAACAGTACGCTAAGTTAACGCTGGCCCCCGCCAGCGATGAGTTCGTTACGCGCCGGTCTTGGTCTGCAGCCTTGCCTTGGCGCCAATACCTGGGTTGATAACGAACGATAAAATACTCCCCGGTGTTGCGAAAACAGTTCAGGAAACGATCTCGGATTTCGTGAAGAAACCGTAGAGAGGGACTGCTGATTGCAATTGCGAGACAGAAGATAGGGCACTCACCTGATGCGGGATCTCAGAAAATGAAAATAGCTGTGTTAACTTTCCCCTTTACTCCGCTCTGTTTCTGCAATGACTTATAGTAGCCACGTTCTCTACTCCATATTCAGACATCTTGACTTCGCTATGGACCAGAGCTTGAACGATCTGGCGGAGGGTTTTCACATGGGGATCATTTAGGATATGCCAATTCAGATGGCATTGATGATTGATGAAAGCACGCTGTCTCCTGGGCGAATCCCTTGAGTCCAAACGCTTTTCAAACGCTACACAAAAAACCCTTCCACTCTCTCCTCTTAGGAATCGGGGGAATAGCCTTTGTATGAAGACGACATAGACATGTTGGGCATCAAATAATGAGTTATGGATCTACGCAGCAGGTCATACAATCATTACATTTCTTAATGGGAATATAACTGATATGCATCTCCTAGCATATTTGGATATTTCAGTCCATCACCAATATCGGTCTAAACCGCACTCTGGCATGTACCAAATCATCCATTGCCTTATTCACGTCATCCAGTTTGTATTTCTGAATCATGCACTTGACGTCATGGGTCCTTGCAAAATCGATGACCTCCTCCGCATCAAGAGCATGCCCTGTTAACCAGCCCGATACTGACAGCGCTCGACGGATCATTAAGGCCGAGTCCACCGTGAACTCTCCAATCGGCGATAAAACAAGCAACCTCCCACGCGGAGCTAACCCTTGCATCAACGGCTGAACGTATTTTGGAATTGGGGCGCTCAGTATCGCCATAGCCGCACCGCCTATCTCCTGCAGGGTCGTCGGGATATCACACTTGCTGCTGTCGATGAAATGATGCGCACCAAGTTCCCGGGCGAATTTTTCTTTTTCGTGTTTGCTGGATATGACTGCTACTTTATATCCTAGTTTATTTGCGAACTGCACCGCAAGATGTCCTAGGCCACCAAGACCATGTATTGCGATGAGATCGCCCGCGGCGACTTCCATTTTCCGGATCCCGTTGAAGGTTGTCATGCCTGCGCAGAGGAGAGGGGCTATCTCTGCTGGATCCATGTCCTGTGGTAATCGAGCCACTGCCTCCACTCGAAGTATACAGTATTCGGCAACTGGAAACAGTTAGACAGACACTCCTGGTGATGGTTACAGTAAGTTGAATGGATCTTCGCTAGGGATGGACTTACATCCTCCAGGTCGTGTCACGCCATTGATCTCTTCATTGTCGCATAGCTGGAAATAGCCTCGATTACATTCCTTGCAAACGCCTAATAGGGGAAAAAAATATATATATATAAATAAATAAAAGGAAAGAAAATTTTATTCAATCAACCTCTGATTTCTTTTTCTGCCATTAATTCATAGTGGGATGTGGGAAGACCTACCGTCATGACCACCATGCCATGGCCCTCCAACCCGCTCTCCGATTTTGAAATTCTTCACCCCGGGTCCAAGAGCTTGCACACTGCCAACTATTTCGTGACCGGGTATTATAGGACTGCGATACTCGTTAGATAGCGATCTTGAAAAATGGACCACGTCGCTTCCTGGGATCCTTGTAGATTTTTTCGAGCCACGAACAATGAGTTTCCAGCTTCCCCGTCCCTCACCAGTACGTCAGAGTGGCACACTCCACAGGCAAGCACTTTCACCAGAATTTCTCTGTGTTTTGGATACTCGAGTGGAATGGTTCTGATGGACAATTCTTCGCCCTTCGTTTCGAACCGAGCAACCTTGTATGATAATGGGAATTCAGGCTCCATCCTGTCTGTTGATTTGATATCAAAGGTTTTGCTTGGACAATCGTTGGATAGGAATTGAAGAGAGTTAAATAATTAGGAGTACATGCTATAAACGAGTAAAACAATATTGCCGTGAAAATTAAGTAGCGAAATTGTTTAAATAGAACCGAAAATGGTGTCTTATTCAGGGAATTATGGATATTTTTCAAAGTCGTTGAAATGGGGTGACATCACGGCTAGTTCTTGGTTGGCAAAAAGCCTTCATACCAATCGCCGTTCTTGCTCTAGAATGAGATAAGGCTGGAATCTAAATCCATATTAAAATTAATTATAATAATTAATATTATTATTGTGAATTCCGAATTCCCTCCTTCTATTGAGTTGTCTCTGCCACTTATCAGAGAGCAGATCAAGCGATGCTATGACGTCATCACAAGAGAAGAATGTTCAATTTTTCAGACGGAGATTTGGATTTTCCACAGATAACTACTTATTTTCTTGGAGGATAATAGGTTGGGGTGGCACGTGACTAGGGTAGGTGTAGTAATCACCAACACCTAGACTGGCCGGCGGGACCATGAATTTCACATTTGGTCCCATTTGGTCTGGTCTCATACATTTCTTGGTGTGAGTTCCACCAGGATCAAGTCTTAAAAAAATCTGAAAATGAACCATTTCTGAGAGAAATAATGTGAAAAATGATCAGATTTAATTCAAGAATAGTGAAATGAGAGTAATTTCTCAGAATAAACTATAAAAAATAATCATTCTTTTAAAATCAGAATAAGACTGAGATTGAAGATTAAAATCAGTCTTATTCAGTTTATTCAGTGATTATTTATATAATCAGACTAACTGTGTGACTGTGTCTGAGATCAGAATCAGAATTTTTGATAGTTCTATTATCAATTCAACAGATTTCATTACACAGTTCTAACATTAGATAGTAGTTTTATACTGTCTCAGTGAAACTTACTATCTACTCTTATCACATTTTTCAAATAAGATCATGATTTCTACTTCTCAATTTAAATTATTTTTATTGCTTTAAATGACTTTAAATCTCATTTAAGTATTATCAAAAAGTGTTACTTTTTAAAAAATTAAAAATAGTCTAAAAAAACCTTAAAATGTCTAAAAATAGTAACTTTATATCAAGAATGAGACTAAATGAGATTAAATGAGATCACTTTCTTATTTTTTTCAAGTCATGATTTCATTTTGAGATCTGATATATAGTCACTTTACATGTTTATTTAATAATTAGTCTCAGTGAAATTCATATCAAGAAATGTATAAGATCAGATTAAATGAGATTAAACATGAAATTTATAATTCTGACAGTCAGTCTAATCAGAATTTAGTAATAATTATTAATAATACTTATAAAATAACTAAATATATTCTTGTATAAGTTTATTCTTCACTTTCTTATAAAAACTACACTTTTCTGATATACTGTGATCAGAGATATTAAACTATCTGATAATTCTATATTTTATAATTATAAGTTTTTTAATTATTTCTTCTTATAATTATCTCTGATAATAGTGATAAATATTTTAACTTGAGTTGAACTTTTACTTCATTCTCATCTCTATTAATAAAATTATTAGAATATTATATATTATCAGTATAATAGTTAAATATATACTCTTAATAATTTTTCATAACTCTAGAATTGATTTAATGTATAAATTCATCAGATTATCTTGAAAATAGTAGTTAAATTCAGTTTTATAAGTATATAGTTTTATCTGATTTTCAGTTATAATTAATATATATAAGTTTTATTTCAAAGTTAGTATTATAATTCTATAAAATATAAAGTATTATTAAAGATTATTACTTATTAGAGAATTATATTTTACTGTTTTTATATTTTAAATATCTGCTCATTCAAATCTCTGATAGTTAATATTATAGTAGTCTTAGATTAATTTAATATATAAGTCTTATTTCTTCTCTGTTCAATCTTGAGAAGTGTAGATATTAATTTAATAAGAGAAATCTAGTAAAGCTACTATAGTATAGTACTCTGTAAAAGATTATTTAGTTTTACTGTAATAATATATTAGTTTATCTCTTACAGTAATAATAATCTACACTATAGTATTATCTCAGACTGAATTTCTTTTTAAGTGATTTAACTATTTCTTAAAATAAGTAAATAAACTGTTATATATTTATTAAACTAACTACAGTATTAATATATAAGTGATTAAGACTGTTTTTATTATCTTATAAAACTGAAACAGTAAATTAATTATATATTTCAACTGAGTTTACTTTATATCAGAAAGTTTTAATATCTGAATCTTTTCTTAATTAGAGTATTATATTCAATAATTAATTATCTGATATAATTAAAGATGTAAGAGGCCTACGCCGATTAGATCAGTATAATATTGATAGGTCTTATATAATAAAGATAAAAACACTAGAGAAGGAAAGAAAGAGAAAGTACAAGAATCAGCAATTGAGGTGAATATTTATATATATATGTGATGATGTATGCAGTGAAGCTTCAGGGCAGAAGAATATATGTATGTTTATAGCAGCTGAGAATCAGTGATTGAGAATGACTGAGAATTGACAATTGAGAATGACTGAGAATTGAAGCATATATGAAATCTGTGAAGTGTAATGAAATAGTCTATATAATTGATTGAGATGGCAGCTGAGAATTGACAATCAAGAATGACTGAGAATCAGAGTGTACATGAAATCTGTGAAGTGTAATGAAATAGTCTATATGATTGATCAGGCGCAGCTGAGGATTGACAATCAAGAATGGCTGAGAATCAGAGCATATGTGAAATCTGTGAAGTGTAACAGAATAGTCTATATGATTGATCAGACGCAGCTCATCACATTAGCCCTCTCTTTTCAGAAGCAGTTTTCATCAGTAAAAGGCCGCTGTTTCAGATAACACAGAACTCAGAGTCTGATTAGTTGAGAAGGAATCAGATCAGTGGCAGCACAGTGATTCAGTGTGAAGTTTTTGATAAGAGAATACACTGAAGGTTATGATGTCTTATGACTGGGATTTTATCATTGCATAGTGACTTC